CTGCGTTTTCCTGCAGTGCGGCGGTATTTAAATGTAAACATGTAGACGTTTCCCACTATCGAAATTTTGCATATTTTAATTAGTTTTCTGATTGCGGTTAATGCTTACCAATCAATTTGATGAAGTCTTGCGTTGTTTACTGCCAGAAACGAACACTTGTATTCATAGTTCAGCGCCACAATGTTAAAAAGAAGCCCAGAAACATGCAACAAGCATCATTTACGATTGTTCAATATTTATGGTGTGGTAGTACATTCGCAAGTACAGCGTACTGATTGGAAATAATTTAGCACAAAAGGGCAGAAACCCGCCTTTGTACGCCGAGATTGCGTGAGCAACGTAACATTACGGTTTAGATACGTGATCAGGTGACCTTGAAGGGCCAGTCTCTTGTGGGCTGGTTTTTGCGAGACGAGTTTATTTAATGAAATAGGAATAGTTGGGGCAACCTATTTGGTTTCTGTGAAGTTTCGTGCACTTTTAGGGAGGGTGAATCGGTACACTGTCTGTCTCAGGCAACGCGTACGTTTCTATCACACGGAATATAGAATGATCCTTCTCATGGCGAGTCATTCACATTGAACACAAATGTTTGTGAAATAAGGTCGGGACAAAAGATAGGGTTTGAGTATTATCAGTATATATACCGTTTCCCGCCATCTCCACAACCACACCTTGTGTGTTTCAGTTCGCACTTTTCTGCAGGAAGGGAGATGCCGTAACAGACTTAGTTACGATATAGATTATGTAACAGACCTAGACTTTCAACATGTGGTCAACAAAAACTGATATTATAGGCTATTCAAGGCACGTTTACGCCATTTATTTTTCACTTTTCAGCGTTTTTGTAGGTTCAAGTGAAGATTTGCTCAAAACAGCCATCGAAACCAGCATAGCCCCCACCTCGAATAACTAGGTAGGTGAAAGTTCACATTACCAAGCAGCGTATCTAGAAGCTGCACTTTGAGTTTAATGATGTTTAAGTCCCGGAAGGCGCTTGGGCAGCGACTGTTAGATTCGACGAAAAAGCTTCACGGCTTTTCGTATGGCTTTGTGTTTGGTTCAAGTAAAAATAAAATGTTTTCGAACTTAGCTACACTGCTTTAGCTCGGTTCACAAGTTGTGACAATGGTTGTAAGCTCGCATATACAGTGTCATTCGAGGCACGAAGTATATGTTTCACTTGCGTAGGTTCACGCTTTGCGATCCGGATCACAAGCTCTCTGGAGCACAGGATGACACAGTGTACATGATATGGAGGTGTGCTCCTACGCCACATATTGGTTCACAATGGCTCACTTACATCGAAAATTCAACGAGCACGCGATGACTGCAGTTCAAGGGTTCACTTTTGGAAATCTTTTCACAGAACGACTCGAGCGCATTATCTACGATTCAAACATTCGACTATCCTTCACTGTTATCAACGTGACTTAGCCGTGCACTACACACAAAAGGCATTAATCACCAGTGCAAAATATCTGCGACCATTTTGCGTACAATCTCACGTTTTCAGAAGCATTGCTGTAATATGTAACGCCAACAGGAACCTTCTACCAGATCAAAATGCAACACTTGCTTTCGTGCTACTTAAAATGTTCTGCATGGAAAGTGCGCGTAGTTTGAATCATAATCTAAGTTTCGTAAGCACCATAAGTGATGATCCGGCATAGGCATACGCAAGATGTATCGAAAACGCAAGTTCAGTAAGGCTTCATGATATGATGCTATTGATCCTGCATATTACTACGCTAGCCGATGACCTCACATACCATAGCCTTGACATGTGAACTATATAAGATGTATACCTTCGCCTGGTGTTGTACGGGAACCATAGGATCAGACCACAGTGCTATCCCGATCAAGGTTAGGCCATTGAAACAATGTGTGGTCAGCACAGACTGTATGTATAATTCTCGATGTGATTGCTGATGTGTGAGTGTCATGTACAGTGACCACGACACCCTCTGAATGAGTGTCTGGTAATGAAAATATTGGCTTATTTCACAGTTTGCTAAATGCGTTCCATTGGTGTGTAACAGCCATACACGAAACGCCTTATTGACCCATTACGATGCTATTGGAAGCCAACGAGGAATTCACTTATTATTAGTGGTTAACTGACTTGCTTTGCAATCAAGACTGTAACATTAACAAAGATACTGAAGATTTTGCTTAATGTGAAACAGCAGACATGGAGGATGTGTCTAACAAATAGTAACGGGCTCGTCAATTCCCCTTCCTTCGCGGCTAATGAAGTCGGACACGAATGTCGCATGAAATATACGTGAATGCATCTTTAAGCCGTAGTCGTACACACGAACATTCGGACCGTTATTCACTGAAACGTCCGACGCTGGAATGGTAGTACGATGAAACTGTGGCCAATCAGAATGCTGCGCATACTATTAGAGTAATCATCTGGCCAATGGCAGAGAGCAAAAGCCTTGCGAGTTTGGCCACCGGTGTTTTCGAATATATCGAGCGGTTTCCTTCAGAGAGAACAGCTGAGACACGCGCGCCACCTGCCGCAGTGAGCATGAAGCACCGAAATTATCGATCGCAAGCAGCGTACTCCGAAATACGTGGTCCTACAAGCACGCCGCCTGCCGCAGTGAGCAGAAAGCGCCGAAGTTATCGATCGCAAGCAGCATACTCCAAAATCCGTGGTCCTACAACAAGTTGCGCGTCGTTCACGTGGCATGACGCCACTGTCGCATGAATTAGCTCCGGCGAAATGACTTTGAGCAAACACTATGTGGTTCCGCAAAATTCGTAATTGTGGTTCTGCAAAATTTATGATTTACAACGCGTTAAGAGTGAGTAAGCGCAAAACAGACAAGGACGTAGAAGAGACAGACACATACAGAGCGCTACTTTCAACTCTTGAGTTGAAAGTAGCGCTCTGTATGTGTCTGTCTCTTCTACGTCCTTTTCTGTTTTGCGCTTACTCACTCTTAATGGATTCAAACCAACTAGCCCACCAACGTGTTTTGGCAATGTTTACAACGCGTGTTCGAAATTATCAAGCAATATTAAGAATTTGTGGTTATATGCATCGCCCGTAATACAAATAATTGATGGAAAAATAACTCGTACACTGATTTAAAGCGAGAGGGTGACTTGATATCACATGTTCCCAAATGGCTACTAAGGTTACAAAAGAGCGCGCTTAAAATACTCACATTCGATAACTGGTCGATCGTTAGAGTTTCTCATCACCTACACCAGAATAAGTGCGATAAACGGAAAAATATTCAAGTGATGCCGTAAATTGCATGAGTGCGAAACTACTAGTTGCGGTTCAGCATCATGTGATGATGCACGATCAGAATGTCTATGCGCCAGACGTTGTGACGTTAGTGACATCTATCAGATCCTTCAAGTACTATGAAAAACGAAAATACCCAAATGAGCACTTCATGACGATTGCACAATTAAGCGAAAATACTAAGCATTATTGTCGGATAGTAAGTCGACCAGTCGTACTTTGTGTCAAACTGCATCATGTTCAATGGCACAAATTACTTCATGACGTCAATGACTCCGTCATTGCTAACTAGAGGAGGATGCATTACGGAAATCGTCATGTGGTGTGTAAAATATTCTGAAACTGTAATGCCATAACCTACGTATAAGCAACTCTGCACCGATGTGTCTGTCGAGAAGGCTAACAATTTGTGCAAGGCTTTTGCACTATGCTTCATGTAGTACAGTAGTGTTGTAGCACTATAAGTTCAATTGGAAAACTGCGAAGGAAGTGATACAGTTGCCGTCGTGATGTAAGAGCGACATATGCATTGTTTCATTAACTGAAGCTATAATGTACAAAACATATAAGCTAAATACATAGTGATTCTCTTATGAGGCATATATTCAGCCTTGATGCCATAAATATAGAATGCAAAGAGCCATCCACGGAGTCTCATTCCACTATCTAAGGATGCAAGAGCGTGTTTTCCTAACAATATCCATCTTAGCTATAAACTTCGTTTGCTATGCTGTAAAGATATGCCAAACGAACGATAGAAGACAACGCTTAGGTTCTAGATTTGGTAATGTAACAGTCATATAGAGAAAATATTCTTGTGTTGTTGATGTGCTTCTGATTCAAATGACGAGATGCACCCCCGATACCCAGTAAGTCCGCGTGTAACAATTGCAATAAACGATAGTGAAACAAGACGCACCTTCACACATTTTATGAGTGGTAGCGCAAATGTTGCAAGGCTTTCGTGAAACAAATAAGACTATGCAACTATGGCGTGCATGTCGCATGAAAATGTAGTCACAGGTTTGGCGTCACTAGCGTGCGTTGTGAAAATGCAAGTGGCGTGATTCCTCATTTCGCGTCAAGTGGAATACAGCAGTCTGTGCATTTACAAACTCAACTGCCCCTTAGCAAAATTTACGTTGACTTTAACTACACTTAGTTGAAGCAGTCCAAGACAAGTCTCACATACTTTTTTATAGATAGCTGTAGAGTGCCACGCACAAAATTGCCATAGATGTTAGCAAGGCAGACACATATGCTTCTGTGATACAAAGCCTTACGCTAATTTTTAACGAGAACGCAGTATGGCTGTCACAAACTCTGTACGACGTAATGAGCCTAACGGACAGATAACTTTACGTTTTCCTAACGGAAGAGCTGACGAAACCTTCAGAACGGCACCTGTGGCACCTACGAGACCTAAAAGCCTCTGACATAAGCCATACTTTAAAAGGAGGTAAATGTCCAAATTTTGCGACAATATCACACACAGCACTTGATTCATATCATTGTGTTCGTGAATTTTTTACGGATGCCCACTATGTGTCTTATAAGATTTTATCATCAACATTTCCCCGTCAATTCTTCTGCTCTGCGTGTCTGATTTGATTCCATGGGAACTTATTTAAGGCAAAAGAAAAAAATGAAACACCTAATTTGATACGCGACAGATATCCACGAATTGAGCTTCGACAGCCTTGCATCACTGTCACCATGAACTTCAGTGAGATATGTAATACGAGTTATTTCGCCAGAGGTACACAGAAATATAAGAAGACACACAGATGACAGGGCGTAACTCTATGCGACACTTAAAGTTCATAGGCTGCTCTGTGTCGTCGCACTGAGCGGCCGGTCTTGAATGTTCTCAAAGTGTCCTTCGTCCATGTCGTCATTCTCCGTCCGGATATCCATCTTTTGAACGACGAGCCGCATTAGAGATAGCTGCTGCTTCCATCGCCCTCGATATTTCTTTCATCCTGCAAATCAATCAATCAATCAATCAATCAATCAATCAATCAATCAATCAATCAATCAATCAATCAATCAATCAATCAATCAGTGAACTGTTTATTAAGTATAAATTGTTTCTATCTATCTATCTATCTATCTATCTATCTATCTATCTATCTATCTATCTATCTATCTATCTATCTATCTATCTATCTATCTATCTATCTATCTATCTATCTATCTATCTATCTATCTATCTATCTATCTATCTGTCTGTCTGTCTGTCTGTCTGTCTGTCTGTCTGTCTGTCTGTCTGTCTGTGTCTGTCTGTCTGTCTGTCTGTCTGTCTTACGGAGTGTATGAGGTACATGAACGAGTCATGACATAGATAAAATAATTTGTATGTCCTGTAGAAAGGTATCTCTTCGCTTGGCACATGTTTTCTGGTGGGCATTAAGAAATTTAGTTTCCCCGCAAGCGTGCAGCAATGAATGAGATAGCAACAAATTGTAACGTTATACAAAGTGAAACTGGCAGCTAATCTTTTTGGATCCAACATCAAATAACTCTACAAAACCCTGATGTAAGAGATACGGTAACTCTTGGGAGAGATATTCTTTTCGCGTAATCTCTTCGCGTGTAGAGCGCAGCACGTAGAAGGGTACATGCACCGTCCGCGCGGATGCCCACCGAGATAGCGAGCGCCAGTGATCGCGATCGCGCCATTAGAGTTCACTGCTGCTGTTCCAGCGACCAACCCCCCACTTTACCCGCTCATGTCCCTATATGCTCGTTGAAAAGAAACTGAGGGTTTTATTTCTGCTTGAGCATTCAGCGGCACGTGTAACACGCGGAGAGATGTGACGGCATGCACCCTCCGATCGACGGAGATGGGCCAGCACGTTTGATCTGTGCTTCAGCCATGTTCTCCACCGCCGCTCAAGCACCTTTAACATTGGGTAGAACATACGACGCACAGAAGGACCACATCAGTTTGGACATCATATGAAACATCACGGCGATGTTAAAGGTGGCGGCGGCGGCACAAACCCGCCGAGAGTGTCCATAGAACTGCTATAACAGTGAGCAAAATACATGCACTTTCCTGTTGAGCGTGCTTTTCTGTAGAGCGATAATGCGCACGGAAGAAGCCACCCAAAACAAGATTGGGAGTGCAAGTAGACAAAGAATTGACCGTAGTCGTAGTTCAATCGGGGAGTACTCATAAAAGTAAACTACACATAGACTGACTTGAAACTTTGGAGCTGTTGGCCAGTGACACCACGATGCAAAGAGAATAGATGTTATGGATGTCGAGAATGGTGCCATGGTCAATCTTCATTAACCATCTTCACGTGCCCGCAAAAGTAACGGTATGTGTACAAGCGATCACGTTACACGAACACGTCGATACGCCTCCTAAAATACGACTCAAGACTGTCAAATGCGAGAACGTCAGCACCTTGGTCATTACGCTGGCTATGAAGGCCACGTAAAAAGGATTTATGTGGCTCGCTTCCTTCCAGACCAGTAAACAAGGCTACCCTGTAAAGCGTGATATGCCTGTAGAGTGAGCTTGAGCTTAGAAGAAGCCGCACTAAAAAAAAAAAAAAAAAGGAACAGGACAGGGACAGGTGAATGACGAGGCGGCTGTGGTCGTTGTTGAATGCAGGAGCCTTTGTGAAATCATTCTTTACTAAGGCTGGCAAAGTTCCGACCTTTTATCTGACATTAGGTTTCATCTGACCACGATGCACATAGCATAGATGTCGGTGAATATTTCGCGGTACGAAAACAAAAACAAAAACATAGCCATGATGGCACCGAGAAGATTACTCCATGGTAACGGTATAACAGTACATCACTTTTAATAACATTTTATGTCCACTGCGAGTGCTCTGTACGTCTTATTTTCCCCGCAAAATCGTTACTCCTATATTATAATATTGCTTCAAGGGCGTTCATGCCAACACACTGCATGTTAGTCTGATGAATTCTTGTGCTTATTCTAGTGAGCGTAGTTCTTGCTTTCGCAGTCATCATTTCGTCTTGTGTAACTTTAGTCTAGGGTGAACGAGAAATTGATCAGATGAGTGGGATTGAGTACAATATTTTAGCGTAGTATTTTTCACATCAAACTCTTCTATAGTTTTTACTACCTTATCTATGAAAAGGAACAGCTGGCGCCATCTGGAGGCACCATCCCGTCCTAATCAACATATAATATCAAATATTTAAAAAATAAAACAATACACAGACCGAGAGCAAAGAACAAATATAACCTATCTCCCTGAAAAAAAAAGTACATATGGCAGCATGGCTTGTTGCTGAGCTAGTTGGTTCATACTTAAGAAAAAAAAAGAGACACATCACAAAAATTACGGGAATGAAGTAAAGGAACGAAGCCAGGAAACACCTGTTTCTGTCAGTTCGCTTTCTGCCTTCGTCCCCGTACTCCTTGCGCCAGGTCTGTTTTTTTTTCTTAAACACATTGGGGAATCTGTTGTAGTCGGGCTTCTTCACGCGTGGCACCTCCAAACTGACGATCTAAAAATACCATACATATCTTATCTTTCTCACATTCGGCATAGACCCGTGCTCCATCAGGTTGCATCGCTTTTCGAATCGTCACCTAAACAATATCTCCGGAACGCGTCTAGTAAGATATCTGCTTAGATCTCGTTAAAATGTATGTGAGACTCATACCTTTGCTTTTGCCTTTTAAGCTCGACGCTTAGCTCTTGAAGGGCATTGTCTGGTACTCCACCACCACCGGCGAATGCCCTGCTTCGTTTGCTGTTTTCTTTGGGGCTCGCAAACCAGCGTTGTATTGTGTGCCACTGCGACATGAGAAAAAGCAAAAAAATAAAGATACAAAAAATGATGATGTTGAGGATCCATTTCTATTGCACGTACATAATGAGGATAACAGCAGCGGAATTACGTCTCGAGCGACATCAATACGTAATGCATTACGTCTTAAAAATAAGTGAAGCAGATAATGAAGATAAGAAACATAAAATACGAATAAACTAGGAAGGCGAGCTATATCATTTGATAGACAAGTAGAAAGCAGGGGCATGAACACACACAAAATTATGAGAGATCTGGAAAAGAGTATCTACACAGAATCAGTTCACTATACCAACACAAAACAAATTAATACGAGAAAAAGGTCACACAGCCTATTTGCAGTTTGTCTAAGATGACTTGGAGACCGAAGTCGTATTCTACTTTTTGCTTTTATTTCAATGTCAGTTATTGGCCTCCCCCCCCCCTTCTGCTCTTAAGCTTCCCTTGTACCCTAAGTGGTTTCGCACTGCCTCCTGGATCAGCCAACATTCGGACCATTGAATGATATCATGTAATTTCGTCATCGTAAGACGTCACGTTGTCATAGTGACGTCATGATGACACCGTAGAATAACCTCATAATGACGCCCCATGGGGACGCCTCCCCGCGATAATTTTTCATCATTCGCGTTGACGGTGACAATATCTTGTCACGTTTGATGAGAGATATAAGGCTTTCTCCCTAAACTTTAGCCCAGTAATCACTTTGTCACATATGAAGTAGTCAAACACACCAGAGCATACGTTCATGTAACTATAACCAATGTTCTTATTCGAATTGGTGCAATTACCAAATAATGTAACCCTAAACGAATCTCTTGAACTCCATCAACATATTGGTCTGACTTTCACATCATATACAGGACAAAGGAAACTGATTAAATCTCATCTTAGTTGCTGCGACTAAGCAGCGAAGCTGTTATAAACTGCAAACACAAATAACATGAGGTGAATGACATTTGTATTCTGGATGACGATGTTAGTGATGCTTTTATACAGCAGTACCATTTCTGCTTTGTGAATTCTATTGACCCATGCAACATTTCCCGTGATAATTGCCTCATCGATAATTTCGAATAGTGTTAGGAAAACGCATGTGAATTCCACTCTGGTGTGTTTACTCCGGGATCAGATAAGCGTGCTGCAGTGAAGTCAAGTGAGTCTTTTTATTGAAACAATGAAGTGGTATCTATATGCTGCATTCCAAAATATACACAGGTCTCCTAGTGAGATAACTGCGATGCTCATGACTTACGACATAAGACGAGGAACCCTTTTGATTGGGGTACACGTAGACTTCAGTTTTGTCAACCATGGTCAAGATACGCCGGGGCAGCTTACGCTCGAGGTCAGTGTGCAGCTCCACCTGCAGGAAAGAACAGGAAAAGATTAACATATTTTCACTCATTTCTACACATCATGTGGAGTGATTAGAGAATAAAAATAATACGTATTTGAGGATGAAATTCTCTTTAAAACGTGATAGAATAACAAAGAAAAAATAGTCCTACACTGTAATGAAAAGAAAAAGCTGGGAGAAGGCCGGAAAAGCAAGTTTTTTTTCTATGTAATACATGCAGTCAGGTTACGCAGGAATTGGCCTGTCGCAGTCCGAGACGGGGTGAACACTTGAAAAAATTCGTTTACCACAATTGTCACAGACAAAGTGTGCCACATTGTTAACTGGCCAACAGGGCGTTAAAGCTATAGAGCCAATGGGCCTTGGGACAAATAATAATATTTAAAGAAGCAGTTCGTCTTTTGTGAGGAATATGCTCACCTATTCACTTCTCCTTGGGTCTATATATATCTGATACTCTGGCAACGCAGAAAAGATGATATATAGATATGATAAATTAATACATCACACGGAAACTGCCGAGACACATGATGTGTCTTACGTCTGCTATATTCACTTCCCAGGCCGTGTACTTTCTTGATTCTACTGGAGATTTGTTAGATGATGGTTGACAGTAATGTGTAACTGTCGCAAATCAAGGTACTGGACAAACGGGATGCCTGTTGATAATCAGCATGAAATTCCGCTTACCTGCATTGTGAGCCTTTTGAGTTGTGCGTTGCGACGTACGGTTTCAATGTCGCCGACGGCCAAGCCGATCTGCAAAGTACAGAGAATGCCTACATTATATTACAATAACCAGTCAGAGTTGATGTTGGCGTAGCCCAAGAACCGAGAATACCAATATGAGAACCGCAACAAAATAAGACAATGCCGTAGGACGGGTTTAAATAGGAAGGAAGGAAGGAAGGAAGGAAGGAAGGAAGGAAGGAAGGAAGGAAGGAAGGAAGGAAGGAAGGAAGGAAGGAAGAAAGGAAGGAAGGAAGGAAGGAAGGAAGGAAGGAAGGAAGGAAGGAAGGAAGGAAGGAAGGAAGGAAGGAAGGAAGGAAGGAAGGAAGGAAGGAAGGAAGGAAGGAAGGAAGGAAGGAAGGAAGGAAGGAAGGAAGGAAGGAAGGAAGGAAGGAAGGAAGGAAGGAAGGAAGGAAGGAAGGAAGGAAGGAAGGAAGGAAGGAAGGAAGGAAGGAAGGAAAATAGAGGGAAAAGAAAGGCAAGGAGGTTAACCAGCCTATAAGCAGCCGGTTTGCTACCCTGCGCATGGGAGAGGAATGGGGGAGATGAAAGAGAGCAGAGAGGGAAGAGAGAAACAGCACATTCTGCAACACACGCGCGCACACTCAGTCATAGTCCAGTCTTGTCTTTCGCGGTGTGTGACATTGCTGTTACAGTCGCTTGTTCAAGTCGGTGTCGCGTAGGAATTTCAACAGAGCTTTCGTCGCCTTCTGTTGCAATTTCTTCTCTCGGGCACTTGACAGAATAGTGTCCACAGACATTTGGCTGTTGTCGATGTGCGCAAAAGCGGACGCCAGTGACTGTCTCTGGATTTCATACAATGGACAGTCACATAGGATGTGGTGTAGCGTCTCTTCGCAATGACAGGCATCGCAGAGAGCGTTGTCGGCCATTCCTATGACAAAGGAGTAAGATTTTGTAAATGCCACTCCTAGCCATAAGTGATGAAGAAGGGTGGCTTCTCTTCGGTCGAGTCCAGTGGCTTTGCGGAGAGCCATCAAAGAGGACTGGTGGCGTTGACGATTCGTATCGATGCTTTGCGGGCACCATAGTGAAAACGTGATTTCACGCGCAAGTTGTCGAAGATTACTGGCAGCATCGATCCTCGAAGGTGGTATGGCTTCTTCTCGTGTTCTTTCGAGGGCTGCCCGCGCGGCAGTATCGGCATGTTCGTTCCTTATGATGCCGCAGTGACTTGGCAGCCATTGAAGCGTCACATGATGCCCTATCTCGACTAAAGTGTGGAGAAGGCATCTAATTTCGAAAACAAGCTGTTCGTATGGGCCGCGACGCAGTGCTGAGAGTACAGGGTTTAAATAGGAGTTTGGGACAAGCCTAGCAGGTAATGCATCGCTCTTATCAGCAAACAAGCAGAAAAAAACAAACGGTGTTAAGTTTACGAGCTAATATTGAGATAAGAGATTGCGACTTTGCCCTCATCAAATAATTTGTCAATTGTATAGGTTGAATATTCTGGTAAAGAAATAGGGGGATGAAGAAATGAAACGAAAGAATATTAACAAGAACAAATGTCTGTTTGGAATTTGCTGGATGATGGTGGAGAATTAAAAAAAAACAGGTAGACAGACAGACAGATAGACTGACAGATAGACTGACAGATAGACTGACAGATAGACAGATAGATAGATAGATAGATAGATAGATAGATAGATAGATAGATAGATAGATAGATAGATAGATCTGACAGACAGGCGAACGGACGGACGGACAGATGGACGGACGGATGGACAGACAGACAGACACTGCGATTTACTGCAATGCAATACGTTTGTAAAAAAAAAAAACTTGGTTTAAGAACTGTATTAACACATTCACATAACTTCGCCACGACAGTTTCTGATTTCGACATTTTAAAATGACTGCTTTCAATGATGGCCTGGCGTCAGTATGTTCCGGAGCAGCCACGACATTTAGGTTTTGGACGATGTAAGTATTTGCAAAGAAAAGAATTGAAAGTCCTACCATTACAGTGAGTATTGAAGGCAGCGGTTGTGACTAAACATTGGCGGCAGCGGCTTCACGTTGTTCTCACACCCAATCACTCTTGTGTGTGCGTTGGCGCTCATTAAATTCTCACTTTTTTCACTTTTCTTACGCCAATACGAATGACACGCCTCCGCCTCATAGCGAGTACAAAGGGCGTCTGCGGATAACAGCGTTGTCACGATAACCACGTGACGAATTAATGGGTCACGATTTGTGGGAAGGGGCGGCACCGAGTATCACGACACCTGTGAAAGAGGCATCGGTGGTGGGGACGAGAAGTACCGGCGGGGAGAGTACGAGGAGCGAGCAGCACTTGAAATTGTTGTTCTGTTTGTTTTGTTTTTGCTCGCACACGTGATCCGCTCAATCTAGCCGTACAAATACTCGCTTTAAAGAGAGTGGGCCCCTTACGAGCAGGTTCATGAGTAGGATAGGCATGAGCACGATGAAGACGACGAGAAACCAGGTGGCAGCCACGATCTGGTACCAGGCCGAGGACTCCAGGGCCCGCATAGGCCGAAGGTAGGTGCCAAGGAAGTCCAACTCCCCGAGCATCATGGTTCCAACGCGCACCAGCGATATCACCGGGTTATGGAAACCCTTGTCACTCATGTTCTGCGCACAGAAAGAATTGCCGGGTTAAATGTGTACCTTGGTGATATCTGTTCAAAGTGAGAAGGAAGAAATGCAGTGTGATATGATCCTTACCAGAACACAGTTCTTACGCAACAGGGAAGTTACTAATTGAAGTTTAAGTATTAGGGGCTAGTTTTCGGGGTGGTAACGTGAACTGCCAGGGACAAAGCACTCACTCATACACGCTATCTATCGGTGTACTACGAAATGTCGAAGTGCTACCCAAGTTGTTAGCTCAAAATATGCAGATGCAGATGTGCTGTGAGTATATCGGTTTGTACAGGGGCATAGTTAAGAAAACGCCAGGCCTGTGCGAGACGCAGAGCACAGTAACCGCGAAAGCTAGAACAGCGGTTTTCGAACCTTTTCTAAACACTCTTGGGTAAGTGTCACAAGCACACTGCTGGGTACCCACTACGCCATAAATAATTAAAATTTTTGTGGAGTAGGCAAGCAGTCACTATGCTATCTTTCTTCGTCATTTTTTAGAGAAGCCACACACTTGCTACACACCTAAACACAATCACTAGAAATTTTGTACAATTTTTTATGCAGTGGTTGATGACGATGAAGAATTATGCCTGAAGTTGTTATGCCCAACAGTAAGCAGGTGATCAAAATGTTTTCTGATGAGTTGGAGCATTGGACGACCAACTCGTTACCCAATTACCATTGTGTGACGCCTGAATGTTCCTTTGATGTTCTAAAAGTGTTCATTACTCATATTAACGCGATTCCTTTCCCGACATCAAGCCTGCCTGATATCAGTTTAGACACGAGCTCAAAGCCCTGGCGTGGCTCAATGGTAGAATACTGTGCTGGCGCGCAGCGGATTCGGGTTCGAATCCTGTTGTTTTATTTGTGGTTTTTATTTACTTAGTTACGGACACCGGCGTGGACAACTATGGCACCGCGCGTGACCCGTGTTCTTATCTCATAGCAACTTTCGCTGTAACACGCGCTGACTGCCCGGGGCAGTCTCCGATGGAATTTTCAGGAAATTGGCTAATGCAACTTGTCGACGGATGTGCCGGAAGCATAGATGTACCTGTACTGTGTTTCCGTCCTTGCCATTCGTAGGTTTAAAAGATGTGAGAAGTGTGAGCGACAGGGTGGATAGAGGAGATGACTAAGTGGAATTAGGAAATCTTCTGCCGTGAGGATATGCCAAGGCCTGGAATAATTACTCGATGACCATCGTGTTGGTGTAAGCATTCAATTTCTGTATCTTTCCCTGACTTTTTTTTTATTTATACCATGAATTATTTTGCACTCTGTCATATTTACAAATATTATTTATTTGTTTTTTTTTGAGTTTCCGGCTAACCTGCATCATGGGTAGACTAATCAGACATGCTTTTCGCGCTTATGTGTAAATTCCATAGTGCGTACAAGAACTGTTCCGGTAAGGGTCAAAACCGTGCTGGAACGGGCTTCGCAAGCCCCTACATAAATTGAATTTTGGCAGTTTATTGATTGTTTAAAGATCAATTTAGACAATCTGTAGACTGTTTATTTTAATTTTGTAAGGGGGTAGTGCAAGTTTCCTACCCTTTTTTTCCACTATATTTCATGGTGCAGCTGCTTTAACGATAATCATGATATCACTTAGTGTGCAAAGTTGTCTACGTCTAAAGCCAAGCGTTCACAAACTACGCGCGGGCTCACCATTGATCGCATTGTGACGTTTCCTGTGAAGGGGTCAAAGACCGGCGTTTTCACATTCATCTGCAGAAATGTAAAAGAGAGATTTCCGGCTGCAACATTCTACAACTGCAAGTTTGCTGCGCAGAAGCAGCAGACTTGCAGCTGGCACTGTCTGACAGGTGTATACGCCAACAAACACTGCACACAATTACAGGCGCCCGCCATCGTTTATTAATAAGAATTCTTCTAATAGCGAACGCAGCTGGGGCCAATACTTTAAGCAGAGGATATGTCTTCGTCAGAACAGCAAGAGCTTTCTTTACAATCAAAGTATAGCGCACACTTCACGAAGACTGACACAAGGAACACAAGACTCTGAAGTCTGCCTGTAAATACGTTTGCAAGGGTTTTGCGGCCCCAGAGCTTGACGTAGCTCAGAAATTAAGCATTAAAATTTTCACGTCACTACTTCTTTCAAGATTGCACAGTATATGGTGTTGATTCGTGATGAAGAGGCAAAATTATCGACCGTCGGTACTCACGTCAATTTTGGCAAGGAGAATATGGAAGCTCAGGCCAAAGGCAATTATGAGAACGGAGAAGACGAACATGACCTTTAGTAGTGTGGACAAAATTTCTAGGAACATAACGACGTAGAGGCCGATCCTGTTGAACCTGAAATGAAATAAATAAAATACAGAATTTGGGTGATGTCCAAATCAGGGGTAAAATAACACTAGTTAAAGACAATGCATTTTTTGTTTTAGTTTTTCTGTGCATACATTTTATAACCGATGGAAATCGGAGGAACATTTTAGTGTTCGTAAATAGCTCCTTTTTGAATTGAATTTTTATTGCTTTGATTTCCAGCAAGTCCCTCGTATGAGAATGCGCTCATATATGTTTTGATTTGACAGCAGATAGAGCGAAACATTTGAGGACAGTACAAATCTTGCGATTTGTTTAACTGTGGCTTTTTGAAGCTCTTTTGAAGAATAACTCATTGTGGCATTGAAATTTTTTAAGTAGTGTACCCGTAATTTATAGCTCAATTATTTATCTCCCTATCTCCCTTTCTATGAGATCAAAATAAATGGAGATGTCATCACTGTTTCATGGCGAAGGCTACCGATGTACACAAAGTTATCAATCAAAATAAACATGAAAAAAAACATGTTTTGTATCCAGCGAATGAGAAAGTCATTACACAATCTTCTCATTGCGCAATACCTACAAAACTATAGCGCAACTACGTGTACTACACACACAATATATAGCGTAGCTAGTAACATATTTTACGTACACCAGCACTGTATTAAAAATTGCTGAAGTGTTGTCAGTGTTTATACATTATTAAATTATTCATATGCACATTGCATCATAAATAGATTCAATGAATTAGAACACGCAGACTATTGGCAATCTCTTCTGCTTTGATGCAAGTCTGACCATATTAGCAATATGGTTCGCATGACTATCCAATAATCCTACTAACCATCGTTTTTCTGAAAGGACATGAACACATATCAGTTCTTCTCACCTTTGCAAATAGAGCAGATAGTTGAACCACGCTAAGAAAACGGCCAACGCCGCCATGATGTACTGGTTGCTTCGATCAACCACGGCTGTCGAAAGGTGGCCGGCAGCCATCAACCCAGCAGATATGTAGAGCGTCCATTCCAAGACGTTCATGATGTCTAGAAAGTACTTGGCTCGCTGAAATAGGCATCATCAGTGCAACATAATAAATTTCTTTTGAAAAGGAGACTGACCTTGAATACTACACGAGAAAAAATTTCGTTGCAACTCCACTGAAGACATTTATTATGAAGTCACTACCTTGATTAATTCTAATATATACATCAAAAACAAGATAATGGAGATAACGTTAGAGACCACAACAGTTTTGATTGGTAAATGTAAGCGTGGGAAGCACTATTAGGATTATTCCATAAGTCTTGAATTCGACATATGGTGCGCTCTTTTTTTTATTGAAGGGAGAAATAACGAACAGCTGTTGTCCCCATTACTTGGGGATGGCTACCCTTTGCAGTTGATTGCTACAAAAAATAAAAAAAACTAAATAGCACGTTTACATACAGTCGTTCACCAGTGCACGAGTGTTTGATACTTTTCGTCAAACCTCTGCTGCCGTTATTGAAATGTACATTCATCTTTAAAGGGTGTTCTTTGTTACGATACGCAAATGGTGAAACGTTTTTTGTGGAATTGACAACGATATATTTTTATCAGAGAGTAAACTTATGAGGAAAAACATCAAATCAATATTAAATACATTGAGATTGGAAGAAGTGTAATGATCCAGCTCGTTCTAATAAATAATAATTTATTATACGCGCAGGAATCATGGAACGAGATGTTAAGAGTTGGATGCCAATTCGACATGCATACGGGAGAGTTACAGAACCAGTACTTGTGATCGCAGTGCAGGTTTCTCGGTTTTATGAATGGTACAATACAACATAGAATACCAATTTATGTAAACATATATAGAAGTATCGGCGCAGGAAAGCAGTGTTACTAAACTGTAGTATGTTATTTTTTAAGACTTTTTTGTATTTGTATTTTGCATGATTTATTTTTTATGGTAGCACGATGTGCTATATTCACTGAAGTACATTTGAGAACGGGAATGAAAGATATACACTAGAGTCGACATCCTCGCGACGCTGTGAACACTGTACAATGGTGTATTCAATTTGGCAACAAGGTCGCCAACCTGAGCACTTCTAAAAATATGAGGCTTGCCTGTTGGTACATCTGGTAAAACTCCTTCACGATGTTCAGCCCGACAAATGCCAGAACGATCACAGACGTCAAAGCGACCATGGTTGCCTGGGTTTTGTGCAAAATCATATTGGAGTTAGACATACTGCACAATTGAAGTGCCTGAAAAGTGAGAAGGATACAGTTAGTGCGCGAAAAAAACACTCTTTGTCGTCCGGCTATTGCCTTTGAACTTGTACTGATGTAGCTGAGCACGAAAAGTGGCTCAAAGTAACGTTCCCGAGTCCAGAAAAATATTTCGATTTTTTTAAACGCAGGTACAGCTCGCTACTTTACATTTGCAGGAGTCATAAACATACATGAAAATAAAAGAAGTGGAAACGAGAATACTGAAACTGTTTACTCGAACTAAAACTTGCCTCTAGTTATAATATTTAGTGTATATTGGCGTGCTTGTCTTGTGCATGAATTAAGAAAATCACAGAAGGTATTTATTAAAGATGTCGACCTGATTTATTAAGCATGAATTCTGGAAGGCCGGTAGGAAATAATGCATGACTTGGCTTCGATGAAATGCATTTATTTGTGAGAAACATTGGTGTCAACATTATTATTAATACATTCTGCCTATTTCTTGAGAGGTGAGAATTTGAGAAGGTTTTCTTAAGAAGTAGCTTAGGGAATGTTCAGAGTGGGTATTGATTTTGTACACGTACGGACTAATGTGCAAACAACCCCGGCCTGACTTCAGAATCATATGCTGTACGTTGTGCTTGCTTTAAAAACAACAAGATTTAGAACCACGTTTTGAGATTTTAACGTTATTGTTCAAATGGTAAAGGGATTCAACTATTAGTTGCATTCTCTTACTTTAAATGCATCACACTGCAGATTATTTTATTTGTTAAATAGCTGGCGCGCATGCGTACGAGCGTTTTAAGAGGTGTCTTCCCGTTATAATACGTTTTCCATTGGGTGTACACTTCTATTTTATCACACCAACTTAGTTTGAGCTAATGTCCATCCGTTTAACTATTCTCAGCTTTTATGTCTGCTAACTACATTATGAAAAAAGCCATTAATTCATATAACAAGGGTAGAAGGCATCATAAAGGCTCAAGCGCTTTAAGAAATTTGGTTCTCCTTACATGAGATCTAGCGATGAACAATAGGTAGAATTCACTTACTGTGGATGGATATACGAAAGCAGACGCGAGCTGCGCCGACGTGACTTGCGTGAAATTTTCTCTGTCGGTCTTCTCAGCCATGAGCTGAACGGCATTCGTCGTTAAGAAAGACAAAAACACGGTGTACACGGCAAGGTTCAACATATGAAAATACATTCCGTACGAGTTCCTGAAAAGCAAGTGAGAATTTCATAAATGGTGCGGAAAGAAAAGCATAATAGGTGCATAATATACTAAGTTTGTTCAACCTGTGATGTAGGGCTAGACAATCGACGTGATAATTCATTTCATTGAAAAGTATCTCCCACGTTAACGACGCCTAGAGAAGACTACTATGCTTCACTGCAAAACAAATTGTCACCATGCGCAAGTTGGCTTTGTTGTTAAACGACACTGTTAGGCGTGAAGCACGCTCTACAGGCAGTCACATGCGAAGTGCGATGGAGTACGGTCATTTGTTAAAGTTGGAGCAAAAAGAAGTTTTCTTTTCAGTGGCACGTGCAACGAGTGACTCTTTATTTTACCTTCCAAGCCATTCAGGCCGTGAACTGACTTTAGATTCGCGGAATATTGAGAAAAAGCATTCTAAAAAGCATGCTAAAGAAATTGCCCGCAGCTTCCCTCGGGGGAACACTGAGGAGCATGCGGGGCATATAATTGGTTAACGGGGGTGTTAAAGTGCGACTTACTTGGGTCGATGGCTAAATTGGTTAACGTGGTTGTGAAATGGGGTGGTTAAATTGCGACTTACTTCGGTCGCTGGCTAAATTGGTTAACGTGGTTGTAGGAGGGGTGTTAAATGAGTGAACACGTACGACACGTATGCGAAAGGGCGGTGTTTATTTATTGCGACGAACTTTGAGCACGATGGCTTTTAGATGCCACTTTGGCCGGCGCTGGTCGAAGGGACGTCGATCATTGCGACCTCGGACATCGACGCGCCGTACAAACCAACCAACAAGCGGCAACTGAGCGAGCGAGCACCGACCTTGAGTATATATACAGCGCGATGGCGCATGCACTGTCAGCTGTCGAATGTTCGAGAAGGGGGAGAAGCGCAACGGCGCATGTGCGCGCGTCAGCTGCCGATGTTCTCGAAGCGTGACGGCGCATGCGCGCTACATTATACAGCTAGCGAATGTTCGTGAAGAGGAGAAGCGCACGCGGTGTGTAGAGGAGGAAGGGTGCACAGATGGTGGAGGAGTGAAGCGCGCGCGGTGTGTAGAGGAGGAAGGGATGCACAGATGGTGGAAGAAGGAGGAAGAAGCTTGCGGACGGCGCCGCACTACAAGCCTCAAATATTAGATGCTCCGCATCTAAAAAGCAGAAGGCGATGGTGGCGGGTTCAAGATTTAAGAGGTTTATTGCGAACATGTGCTATCGGAGCATATGTTACATGACCGAAAACAGCTGTAACTGCTAAAACACAACACCACACACACACACACCTTATATATATATATATATATATATATATATAATATATATATATATATATATATATATATATATATATATATATATATATATATATATATATATATATATATATAATATATATATATTATATATATATATATATATATATATATATATATATATATATATAATATATATAAGCAAGCAGCTGGGATTGTTCGAGCACCTGACGGAGCATATCTACTCGACATGTTGCTTACTAAATAGCAATAGCAACATCTGAGCACTGGTGAAGACGAAGCCAAGGAAGAGACACTGGACACATGGGCGATTTCCTTTCTCCACTCTAATGAAGACTGCTGTGTAACAATAATAAGTCTTTTAACACATACATTCTGAATGGTTGGGTGAACTAAATGTTGCTCTCTGGTGATAATTAAGTCCAAGAAGATTGCATTTGTTTTTTTCTTCTTTCTTCTATCCCTAAGGGTTTTCTTGCTTCGTTTATATTTTAGTATAATTCCATTCATAAGCATTCTTGTAGCGCTCATAGAAAAGCTACACTTTCTTGGCCAATCACGAGAGTGGGTACGTGCCCTATTTTAGAGGAATAAAATGAAATCAATTGTGTCTCTTGCTTGTTTCAAAAATTTTCCCAGTGCGCGGATACTGCTTTTTAAAAATGCGCCTACAAGCTCACGTCGCTATTCTTGCCATTCTATCAGCCTTTGAGACCAACTGCAGCATTCAGACGAAACTTAACATTAACCTATGGACTACAGCAAAACTAATAGAAAAAAAACAAAGCTTGTAGGCCAAGAACAGGAACGAAACGAACATGAGAGCTTTCATTCATTGCTACCTTGTACTCTTTCCACATCGTAAAAGCTTTGCTTTTTTCTTTCGTTATGCCACACCAACGGAGCCAACATCGTTCACGAAATATACCGGTCCCCAAAATACATAAAATACAAAGAGCACGTGTTACTACCAGACACTTTAGTCAGACTTTAGCGTTGCCTCCAACTTTTTTTTCAAGCACATCATATTAGCACACGTTCGCTAATTGTTGGAATGATGCGAGCTGTTGTCATTTTTTTGGGGGGGGGGGGGTGATCGAATACGTTCGGTCCATTGATCTAAAAGTAGCAACGACTGATTCTGGAGCATGTACACATTCAGCTAAAAACTTTTCCAAGCCCTAGAGAAGTTGTAACAAACAATAACTAATTACGCAATTGTCTGCATTTAGACAAGGTCTGCTAACGCATATATTAGTGGCAAGGCTTTGACAGTACTGAAGCGGCTAGAATTTCCAATTTACTAAATAGCTCCATGTTTTTGTTGAATACTCACCATTTGGTCTCTAAATACTTGACACAGAGAGGGTGAGATAGGAGTTCTTCGCGCCCGTATCTAACCATAATCTGTTTGAAGAAATGGTAATTAGGTAATAGATTATTAAACAAAGCATTTGATGAGAGCCGTGGCTTGTACTCACGTTCATCACAGGCAGCGGTTGATCAGTTTCAGGTACGATATCCCCAACTCCCTCAGTGTTCTGAAGAGCTTGAAAGCTATGTTTGACCTATAAGTAAAGGCCAGGTTATGTTGCGAAACCTCTACAAAAAAAAAAAGTGGATGGAGGGAGGGCCGCTGTGATAGCTCAGTGGTTAGAGCATCGAACGCGTAATTCGAAGGTCGGAGGTTCGATTCCTGCTCACAGTTGGTAATTTTTTCATCCACTTTTCTTTCTTCTTGTTTATATTCCATTGATTTTAATAACTTCCCCTGTACATTCCTTGGCATTACTGTCTGTTATATCTCATTATATTGTGTTAAAAACACGGAAAAACGAGCCCTTAGGTATACGCTTCTTTCCCTTATATATATATATATATATATATATATATATATATATATATATTATATATATATATATATATATATATATATATATATATATATATAGCAAGCAGCTGGGATTGTTCGAGCACCTGACGGAGCATATCTACTCGACATGTTGCTTACTAAATAGCAATAGCAACATCTGAGCACTGGTGAAGACGAAGCCAAGGAAGAGACACTGGACACATGGGCGATTTTCCTTTCTCCACTCTAATGAAGACTGCTGTGTAACAATAATAAGTCTTTTAACACATACATTCTGAATGGTTGGGTGAACTAAATGTTGCTCTCTGGTGATAATTAAGTCCAAGAAGATTGCATTTTGTTTTTTTCTTCTTTTCTTTCTATCCCTAAGGGTTTTCTTGCTTCGTTTATATTTTAGTATAATTCCATTCATAAGCATTCTTGTAGCGCTCATAGAAAAGCTACACTTTCTTGGCCAATCACGAGAGTGGGTACGTGCCCTATTTTAGAGGAATAAAATGAAATCAAATTGTGTCTCTTGCTTGTTTCAAAAATTTTCCCAGTGCGCGGATACTGCTTTTTAAAAATGCGCCTACAAGCTCACGTCGCTATTCTTGCCATTCTATCAGCCTTTGAGACCAACTGCAGCATTCAGACGAAACTTAACATTAACCTATGGACTACAGCAAAACTAATAGAAAAAAAACAAAGCTTGTAGGCCAAGAACAGGAACGAAACGAACATGAGAGCTTTCATTCATTGCTACCTTGTACTCTTTCCACATCGTAAAAGCTTTGCTTTTTTCTTTCGTTATGCCACACCAACGGAGCCAACATCGTTCACGAAATATACCGGTCCCCAAAATACATAAAATACAAAGAGCACGTGTTACTACCAGACACGTTAGTCAGACTTTAGCGTTGCCTCCAACTTTTTTTCAAGCACATCATATTAGCACACGTTCGCTAATTGTTGGAATGATGCGAGCTGTTGTCATTTTTTTTTGGGGGGGGGGGGGTGATCGAATACGTTCGGTCCATTGATCTAAAAGTAGCAACGACTGATTCTGGAGCATGTACACATTCAGCTAAAAACTTTTCCAAGCCCTAGAGAAGTTGTAACAAACAATAACTAATTACGCAATTGTTCTGCATTTAGACAAGGTCTGCTAACACATATTAGTGGCAAGACTTGGAGAGTACTGAAGCGGCTAGAAATTCTAATGCCTAAAATACATCCATGTTTTTGATGAGTACTTACCATTTGGTCTCTAAATATTTGACACAGAGAGGGTGAGATAAGAGTTCTTCACGCCCGTATCTGACCATAATCTGTTTGAAAAAATTGTGATTAGACAATAGATTATTAAACAAAACATTCGATGAGAGCCGTGGCTTGCACTCACGTTCATCACAGGCAGCGGTTGATCAGTTTCAGGTACGATATCCCCAACTCCCTCAGTGTTCTGAAGGGCTTGAAAGCTATGTTTTACCTATAAGAAAAGGCCAGGTTATGTTGCGAAACCTCTACAAAAAAAAAACAGTACAAATGCAGTAATGTAAGAAAAAAAGGTAAATGTTTGCACTTGCATAATAAGACGTGGAATCATGACTGTATTTGGATTTTGTTATCCCCCGGTCCAAGACAGCCTGCAGAGTTAGAAAAAAAATCGGGTTAGAGAAGCATTTTCAAGGTGGCTCCACTTCGTCAAAACGTTTTTAGTAGTCCCTTAGAGACCGTGTATTTCTTCGTTTCTTATGAAGCAGCATAAAAAAAAACACGGTGTACACGGCAAGGTTCAACATATGAAATACATTCCGTACGAGTTCCTGAAAAGCAAGTGAGAATTTCATAAATGGTGCGGAAAGAAAAGCATAATAGGTGCATAATATACTAAGTTTGTTCAACCTGTGATGTAGGGCTAGGACAACGACGTGATAATTCATTTCATTGAAAGTATCTCCCACGTTAACGACGCCTAGAGAAGAATACTATGCTTCACTGCAAAACAAATTGTCACCATGCGCAAGTTGGCTTTGTTGTTAAACGACACTGTTAGGCGTGAAGCACGCTCTACAGGCAGTCACATGCGAAGTGCGATGGAGTACGGTCATTTGTTAAAGTTGGAGCAAAAAGAAGTTTTCTTTTCAGTGGCACGTGCAACGAGTGACTCTTTATTTTACCTTCCAAGCCATTCAGGCCGTGAACTGACTTTAGATTCGCGGAATATTGAGAAAAAGCATTCTAAAAAGCATGCTAAAGAAATTGCCCGCAGCTTCCCTCGGGGGAACACTGAGGAGCATGCGGGGCATATAATTGGTTAACGGGGTGTTAAAGTGCGACTTACTTGGGTCGATGGCTAAATTGGTTAACGTGGTTGTGAAATGGGGTGTTAAATTGCGACTTACTTCGGTCGCTGGCTAAATTGGTTAACGTGGTTGTAGGAGGGGTGTTAAATGAGTGAACACGTACGACACGTATGCGAAAGGGCGGTGTTTATTTATTGCGACGAACTTTGAGCACGATGGCTTTTAGATGCCACTTTGGCCGGCGCTGGTCGAAGGGACGTCGATCATTGCGACCTCGGACATCGACGCGCCGTACAAACCAACCAACAAGCGGCAACTGAGCGAGCGAGCACCGACCTTGAGTATATATACAGCGCGATGGCGCATGCACTGTCAGCTGTCGAATGTTCGAGAAGGGGGAGAAGCGCAACGGCGCATGTGCGCGCGTCAGCTGCCGATGTTCTCGAAGCGTGACGGCGCATGCGCGCTACATTATACAGCTAGCGAATGTTCGTGAAGAGGAGAAGCGCACGCGGTGTGTAGAGGAGGAAGGGTGCACAGATGGTGGAGGAGTGAAGCGCGCGCGGTGTGTAGAGGAGGAAGGGATGCACAGATGGTGGAAGAAGGAGGAAGAAGCTTGCGGACGGCGCCGCACTACAAGCCTCAAATATTAGATGCTCCGCATCTAAAAAGCAGAAGGCGATGGTGCGGGTTCAAGATTTAAGAGGTTTATTGCGAACATGTGCTATCGGAGCATATGTTTACATTACCGAAACAGCTGTAACTGCTAAAACACACACACACACACACACACACACCTATATATATATATATATATATATATATATATATATATATATATATATATATATATATATATATATATATATATATATATATATATATATATATATATATATATATATATATTTATATATATATATATATATATATATATATATATATATATCAAAAATTACTTTAATGCGTTCATTGAAATGGCAGTTGGTTTTGCGGTATTTTGGAGGAGCTGGGATTGTTCCAGCACCTTATGAAGCATGTCTACACGACATGATACTTACCAAATAGCAACATCTGAGCCCTCATGGAGGCAAAATCAAGGAAGAGACACTGGACACATTGGCGATTTTTCTTTTTCTACTCTCATATGTCTGTTGTGTAACAATATTATGTCTTTTAAGGCATACATTTCGAATGGTTGGGGCATATAAACGATGCTCTTTGGTCATATTGAAGTCCAAGAAGGTGGCATTTTGTTTCTTTTTCTTCTTTTCTCTTTATCCATATGGTTTTTCTTGATTTGTTTCTATCTTAATATAATTTCATTCATAAGCATTCTTGTAGCGCTTATAGAAAAGCTACGCTTTCTTTGCCAATCCCCAGAACGTGTACGTGCCCCATTTTAGAAGAATAAAATTAACTCTAATTGTGTCTCTTATTTGCTTCATAATTTTCCCCAGCGCTCGGATATTGCTTTTAAAAAATGCGCCCACAAGCCCGCGTCACTACTCTTGCCATTCTACGTAGCCTTTGAGATCGACTGCAGTAGTCCGACAAAACCAAAGATTACCCTAAAGACTACAGCAAAACTAATAAAAAAAAGCTTGTACGCCGAGAACAAGAACGAAACGAACATGGTAACTTTTATTCATCGCTATGGTGAACTCTTCCAACAGTATAAAAGCTTTGCTCTTTTCTCTCGTTATGCGACACCAACTGAACCAACACTGTCCACGGAATACATCGGGCCCCAGAATTTATAAAATACAAAGAGCGGGTGTTACTACCAGACACTTTAGTCAGACTTTAGCGTTGCCTCCAGCTTTTCTTAAGCGCATCAAACTAACACACTTTCACCAGCTGTTGCAGCGATGCAAGCTGATGTCATTTGTTTGGGGGGTCGATTAGGTTGGGTCCGTTGGTCTAAAAGTAGCAACGACTACTTCTGGACCGTGTACATATTCAGCTAAAAGCTTTTCTAAGCCTTAGACTGCCTGTAACAAGCAATGAATAATTACGCAAATGTTCTGCTTTTAGACAAGGTCTGCTAACGCATATATTAGTGGCAAGGCTTTGACAGTACTGAAGCGGCTAGAATTTCCAATTTACTAAATAGCTCCATGTTTTTGTTGAATACTCACCATTTGGTCTCTAAATACTTGACACAGAGAGGGTGAGATAGGAGTTCTTCGCGCCCGTATCTAACCATAATCTGTTTGAAGAAATGGTAATTAGGTAATAGATTATTAAACAAAGCATTTGATGAGAGCCGTGGCTTGTACTCACGTTCATCACAGGCAGCGGTTGATCAGTTTCAGGTACGATATCCCCAACTCCCTCAGTGTTCTGAAGAGCTTGAAAGCTATGTTTGACCTATAAGTAAAGGCCAGGTTATGTTGCGAAACTTCCTACAAAAAAAAAACAGTACAAATGCAGTGGTGTAAAAAAAAGGTAAATGTTTGCACTTGCATAATAAGACGTGGAATCATGACTGTATTTGGATTTTGTTATCCCCCGGTCCAAGACAGCCTGCAGAGTTAAAAAAATTGGGTTAGAGAAACATTTTCAAGGTGGCTCTATTTCGTCAAAACGTTTTTAGTAGTCCCTTAGAGACCGTGTATTTCTTCGTTTCTTATGAAGCAGCATAAAAAAAAAACAACACACTCACATACACACAAATTTATGCGAACACAAGCACTCTAAAACCATCTTACTATATTATTTTTAATTCCTCTAGGGTCAGTACCTCCGATCAGATAATTGTGACGAATATAATCAAAGCACAGAAGAACAAGATTGAAACAACGCATTTTCTGAACTAGCCAAGCCATCCTGAACTGCTGGCTAGACGACTATTCAAAGTAATATAGCACATTTTGTAATATTCTTAATCCTTACACCGAGACTCTGTTTTCCCCATTTCTAATGCTTAATACTGGCCCACTGAAGTTTGTTCTTAACGTCTGAATCAAGGGCTCACTAAAAAGCTCGTTAGTAGGCTCGTTAGGAGCATTCAAGAAATCGGCTCACCATCATGACTTCTGGCATAACTGCCGTAAGTCCTTCTACTAGGCACGTGTACCGCTTTGTTCGGCAGCTCATTACTTCTTCACTCCTAAGGAAGAAATAAGCAATGGGGCGTAAGTAGAATGTCAGATATTTCATTGAGAGAGAAAGATAGATAAATGTAATTAAAGAAGGGAGAGATGTTAGCAGGTGATTAAACATAGAGGGTTTGCTACCCTGTGTTAGAGAAATGATAACACCAGATAAAAAGTGTGGAGGAGAAAAATTAGATAGGGGTGGATGTAAGTGAAAACAATCACACAAAGAAGACACGAAGAAATGTCATAACCGGTAAAGTTGCACAGACTCCAGTGCACCAAATAATACCTAGATGTATTGGTCATATATTACACAGCTTATTAACTCATTCTGCAAAACTGAGCCCTTGACAGAATGGTTAAGACTCCTTACGTTGTACAAATGTTGTATCGTACTACGCTTCAAACAATATGACTAATTTCTGAGCGAGTCCTCAGTAAAATTATTACATTAGGTGCTGGTGGTTTTTCCGATATACTCGAGACTAAACCAAAAGGTTTTCTTCCCAAGATTGCTATGTCAAAATATTTGTCGCTCAAATGCAAAACAAGTTTATTCCTGTTATTGCGTACGTAATGCTTCGAAGTCATTCCTACAATGTACCCTTTTTTCTTACGATTGGTGAAATTGAAGTCGGCATAAGCTAAAATGTTTTTAAGCCTAGTGCGAGACAATGGTCATGCACTGCTGCTATAAGCAGTCATCTAAATCGTGCAAAAAAGCCAGTTTTCAAAATAGTGTTACTAACACAGTCTAGTTTATGGTCTATTTAATGAGAACTCTACAGCATTCTACATAACTTCATAGCAAGCCAGAACCCCTCTAGAGTGCTGTAGGACACTGACACTAGACGTTTTTACGTTTTTTGTCGTCTCACTTGTGATTATGTGCTCACTCGACCATCGCGGGTGTAATCCTGGCATCGGGGATCGCATTACCCACCGGAACAATGCTCAAGGACCATGTGTTGTGAGATGTCAGCGTGTGTTAAAAAAACACCGGATAGTCTAAATATCCGGAGCCTACTACTACGGCGTGTCTCATATACATTATTGTAGTTTTATTAGAATAAACCTACGCATTATTGTGGTAATTGTGCTTTGCACTTCTTCAAACAACGAATCCACAGATCAGTCTATATCGACAGTTTCTCCCTTCCTTCAACTATGATGCAAAGTACTCTCACCCACTCGACGAGTTTGACCTACCTGGACGGATGCGTTACCATTACCATGGCAACCTCGCTGTGCTTGTAGTGAAGCGCGTAGTCTATGGGCGTGAAGTCCTGCTCGTTGTGCGAAATCTTGCAGCTGAGGCTGAGCAGAAGGGACGCTGTGTTTGCCTTGTTGTGCATGGCAGCCAGATGCAAGGCGGTGTTCTGAACGAGAGAAAACGAGAATTGATGTGTGAGGAAAAAAAAACATGGTTTTTTATGAATTCCCCAAAGAAGACTCGAATGATAAAACCATTTTAATAGTTTCTTTTCCAAAGAAGGCTGCGTAAGCGCTACTGCGCTTAGTGCATTCAAGTGGCCTTTCAGAAAGACTTTGATTTGCACGTCCTGCATGAGGTTCCAAGTGTGTGTATGTGTATTTTTCACATTTATCTATATCTCTCTGTCTTTTGTAGAACACCTTCTTCCCCATCCCTGCGCAGGGTAGAAACTGGTCACTTTTACTAAGTTAAGCTCTCCGAGTTTCATTTAATCTATCTCTCTCTATCTCGATGGATGCGTCAATACTCGCTTCCTATTTTCCGAAAACTTTCTGCAGGTCACCTGGTTTTGCATAGCATCCGTGATCGACGCACCTTGTATCACGCAACAATGTTACGTGTTGCAGTCATCATGTGCCGTTATGATGACAAAATTTTCAATATATAATTGTGTGATGGCAGTTTTTCGCATACATTTTGTTGATGCCGCCGACGCGGGATGCCAACGCCATTGGTTCACTTTCGCCTTTGATGAGCCATTCAGAACTTTAGCCTTAAAGCATTACATATTGTTACGATGTCTGGTCATCTTTTGTGCACAGAATGTCTCACCCCTACTGTGCTCCCTATACAGCTATATTTTAGGGACAAGAAACCAAGGGGTTTCAGCAGCGCTAAGTGTACAACGACCGCATACCCGAAGCGTGCCGAGGGAATACAACGAAACTGTCAGCATTTACAAGCGGTGTTCGGTGCTCCTTGGAACATTCAAAGTGACGCGCTTATTCTAAAACAGAGAATGCTTGTGGCACCACTTACGTTTTACGTTGTTTCAGACCCTCAACACGCACTACACTTCTCCCTAATTGAAAACTTCGGTCTGATTAACGCGAGAAATTGAATTGCTCTGATCTCGTAAAGCAACTTTCAGCACTCATGGAGGCTCAAAGGTTGATTTAATTAAACGCAGGGAAGTTTGAGGATGAAATCATGTTTATTCTTTGTGTTGTAATACCATTTCCTGCGTATTTCGCCCTTGTGTGCATTGGAAACGAAAGTTTAACAATCCCCGCAATATTGTCTAAACTTCTCATCGAAACATTTCACATGTTCTCTGAAAATGGAGCTCGCAGCACTGCATATTTTTTTATCTTATACATTCTCTACCATGCAGTGATTCATTCGTTAAGGAAATTGCACCTATGTTTTTTGGCGCAACTGTGCTGAAAATAAACGTTTCCTATATCTCGGCGTTCAAATGGCCTAATCAATACATCCAGGAATAAAGGCTATTCAGAGAGTAACGCATGAGATCGAATTGCTCAATCACTCACTGCCCAATATACTGTAAAATATAATAAAAATCTGTGGTCTTGATTCATGACCGTCTGAAACTGAAACTTTCCTATTTCCATCAACTCATGTGGGTCATAGTGGTGCTGGTGTTATCTTTCTTACGCCCCCCCTCCCCCCAGAAAAAAAAGAGACCCGAACTAAGACTATAGTTGCACTGGCCTTGTCTATGTCATTCGAGTGGTTGGTAGTATGAAACGGAAATGAAGTTACATGAATTGAAATCATAGATATATAGGGTGTTGGTGATGTTCGTGGTGATTCTATGGTACTTAACAAACGATAAACGTTCTTGTGGTCCTATAGTTGTCGTGGCAAATAATCGCAATAACGCAAATAAATCTGAGCAGAACAGAACAGCAGTCGCAGCGCAAAATACGCATACATATACAATGAATAGATAGCTAATTTGGCATGTACATTATATTCTGCATTTTTATATCTGGACCTATGTTACGACCGTATACCGACGGGCCGCCGTCCAGGGATGTACATGTCTTCAGCTACTTTTGCGTAACTCACTTTAGCCATGTATTTCGTGGCTGCCCATTACACGTGACACAAAGGCACATGCTAACTTCAACGCTGGCAGGCATCGGACGAGCACGACATAGTGAAAGCTCGCATTTTGTCAGAAATATGGGACCAAAGTTTGTCAGAAAACTGCTACACATGCTGTTTCAGATTTTCTGAAAAGCACTTGACTGGATACTGAAATGTATGGTACTGTAATAGGCGCACCACCTCTTCCTGTCTCGATCATCACCTTTCATCCCTATTTATTTCCCCCTTCCTTTATTCCCTGTGTGGATTAACAGCCTGGAGCACACTAGCTGAAGCCGAACTCCTTGTCTTCTAATATATTCTCACTCTCTCTCTCTATTTCTGAATAAAGTACGACGATGGCGACTATAATTAAAAAGGATAACTTTAAAATGCCTCACTGAACCGGAAACCATCGGCACCAACAAGAATGATTCTAAAAGTCACTTGATTGAAGACTGCGGCTTTATTACTCAACCATGTTACGCAATCATGGCGTTCATATGACGTCATAATATGATGTCATCAGACGGCATTGCCGCTCGGTCAAGAGCGAGTAGGTCACGGAGGTAGTGCAAAACGAGGCGAACTTTTTATTTCATTTTTTTACCTCCAAAACTCTCATAGGAAGTGTAACATATGGTGTAAATGTAGAGCAATTGTACAAAATGGTAACCACATATGTTATTTGGGAGACTGGTAGTGAGTTACACTCTCAAATAATACAGTCGGACAGGTGCTGGCGGAAATGCCGTGTTCCACACAGATTATGACCGAGGAAACAAGGCGAAAAAATCTCTTGGAGTGGCTGCGTGGACGGGTGACTTGAAAGGCATGACCGGCGCGATGAGATATGCGGGCTGCTGTGGTGATAAAGTCTGAACGGACCACGTGAGCTGTCATAGAACTTCTGGGATAGAACTAGGGTGGCAATGCGACGGTGAAGTGCAATAGCTGGTCAACATTGCTCTTCTGTCAATGATAAAACACTGTCCTGGTACGAGTAAGATAAATGAGTAAATCGTATGGCACGTTTCTGCAGGTCGTCAAGCGGAATTTCCCAGATAAGCCTGAGGTGGGCTGCAAATTACGAACCTTGTATTCCTCTGATCATGGTCGCAGAAACTTTTCTGGCATCTGGCCGGCAAAAGAAGGGGGGGGGGGGGGAATAAATACATTTACCGAGAAAAGAAATTAATATGCATATGGGACCTTGTTGAGTTGAGTTTTGTTATCCAGAGAAACAGTCTTCTATTAGGCACTTACGGGGAGCCCGTGGGAATGTACGCGCACTTCTAGCACTGTGACATACGTCAAAAATTATTACGCAAGCTTTTCACCGATTAGTCATCCCACTGGCCACCAGCTGTCACCGTAAAACACGCCTGACGTTCATTCAGTTATGCAGCGACGTACATAACAGTTTTGACAAACTGGCGCTGCAAACACCTCGCAGAGCTGTGTGGCCGCACCGCGTCGCGCTGGACGCGGGCAAGGCCAGCGCGCGCCGCTACGGACACACAGAATAAATATGATTCGCCGCTACGGACAACTTGAGCACCGGGGGTGCCTAAATGGATTCTAATGTCCGCACGAGTGAACTTAACGCAGTGCCATCCGCAACGTGCCTCGCCTCGCTTGAAAGCTGTATATGCGATTAGTAGGCGCGTTAGGTGTCGTCTGACGCCATTTGTCGTCGCTTTTTGCGTTCGTTTTCCCAGCCGCGTACGTCGCAAGTCTCCGGTAGGAAAACTTGCGAGCCGTAATTTCCGCTCCGTTTGCGACGCCATGCGCTATCGCTGGTGTTTCGTCGGTGCAGTGGGCAGCAAATATGCGAGTTCTTTTCCCATATGTTGGTTGCACCAGACGGCACTACGACGTCAAGAGAACAGTACCTGCTAGGTGAATGTTTTCGTTCTACATTCAATGCAGCCATTCTTTATATAATTCTGTAGTTGAATTGCCTGTATATTAGACAACCCGCCTCACATTCTGGCGTCAAGTCATTTCGCGAGCCAAGCACAGATAAAAACAAACAAACAAAAGAACTCGTAGTTGAGCCATCGAGAGAGAAAAAAAAAGAGAGGCAGCGAAGGCTATTCTATTTCTTGAATACCTTATATGCTTCAAGTGTGTTATGCGAAGGAAGCCGCTGTAGTTGCACACAATTTAAGTTAAAATAAAAATTCATAGGACGATTACGGTATTGCCTACTGTGAATTGTGAGCGCGGCCTCCTGCTGGAGCGACACCGACTGTGTTAGAAGTTTTGCCTATCCGAAGTTGCAGCAATGTAACATTCGTTGCGTGCTGCCAAGAAACTGTCAGCATTCGAGTCAGCATTCGAGTGGTACGCGTATCACTCTGTGTATTGCAGGCGCTACGACAACGTTACGACAGCCCTGCTACGAAAACCGAAGGCAGCCGCAGTGTCCTTGCCAGCCCCGATTGCGCACGAGATCCGACTGAGGGGGCCAGTGCGAGTGGCGGAGGATGAAAACGAGGTAGAGGCTTGTGACATAGACAGACTATGCTGTTCGCTCTCTTTCATCCTAGTTCTGTCTAAGGTTACGCCACTGATGTCACTGGCGACGCTGCTCCGCGTGGGAACGGGCGCCTAAGAACTTCGCTTTAAAATGGAGCTTTAGCGCACTGTGTATCATGGCTCGTTTTGCGCCTACGGCCTATATGCGCTGGCACCTTCACTGCGTCTAATGCATATAGCGTCATACAATTCTAGTACAGCTATAGAAAAAAAGGAACAACATAAATTAACGAGTATATTAACGATGACTTTTTGAATGAAGTTGATGAAGAGAGAGAGGATAAAATGAGGGAAAGGCAGGGAGGTTAACCAGAAATTCAAGTGTCCGATTTGCTACCGTGCACTAAAGGAAATGATAATGGAGAAGAAAGATGGGAAAAAAAGTGAAGAGCGAAATAAACACGTCAAAAAGGAAAACAAAGTGAGCTTAGGTGCTAGAGGCTATTCAATAGGCCACTACCACGCAAAAATTTCAATAAGGCCTTCACTGTTTTTTTGTGCGAAGACAGATCATGTCACCTTTCAAGCACTGACTGTTCTGAAGAGAGTCTGTCTACAAGGCATTCTATAATGATATGGCGCAAAAGTGTGACGACGATTTATCCTGGTTAGTATTACTTTAACAGAACGTTAGTTTTAGCAGAAAACCTCGTCGTATTAGTGTTAACTAAATCTTCATAATCGATGAAAGTGGTAGAAAGTTGAATTGTTAATATTTTTTGCAGAAACGTATTTAAATTGAATCTGAATAAGTTGTTAACATTTAAGTTATTGCAGAAAATAAGGTGAGCGGTGTTACTGCGCAACGTGACAACATTTGCATGCATAGGCAACAGCAATCACGCGTCGACAAGCGACAACACTCACCCCATCCCGATCACTCTGATCCAGCAAGTGGGAGTGCACTGCCAGTAGCTGCTCCATGGTGTGTGTGAAGCCATTGGTGACTGCGTAGTGAAGCGGAGTCCTGCCTTTGTGGTCCCTGAAATATGTTGAAAAAAAAAGAAAATAAACGCGATACATATCAACAACAGCTGTTCAAAGTAGACAACACATCGTGATAATATTATCTGTGAGCTTCACATTTTTGGCTTGGTTAAATCAGTCGGCATTGTATTCGTGCCACTGGCTTAGTCAGTGAGTGGCCACCCTTACACCCAAAATTCTTGAAAATTTTCAATTTTGAAAGGGTATGTAAAGTCATACAAAACAATGGCCCGAATCTACATGTTACACTGTAAATGTCGTCGAAAGACGATAGTCTTGCGTCTCGAGAGAGTGAACAAAACGTTATTTGATGTACTGCGCAAGAAAATAAATGAATGGTATTCTGCAGGCGCTGCGTTAGAGTGCCTCGAGTGCGTGGCGGAGGCGAACGAGCGCATTTAGGCACGTTAGACACAAGTGCCATCTGGCAGTTATCTTCGAAAACGAAGGCATGAAGTCCACCGAGAAAGATGCGCGCCAGTCTCGGAGGTGATAAGGTGTAGAACGTAAAGCGATGGGAAGGTGCCACCACCGTGACGTCGTAGCTAAGCGTTGGAAACACGTTTTTAAGCATCGCGTTGCACTGTCAGCGCAGCGCGAATAAACGCTACATTCCTTAGAGTTACTTGTGTGTGCCTCTTCTAGTATAAAGGCAGACATGGAAAACATCGAAGGGTTATTGTGGTGCCTCAGATATGGGCAATAATTGCTTTTTAGTTGAAAATCGCACAACTATGAACGCCTAAACCTTGACCAATATTGGTGGGCGCGGCGGATGGGGTTGGCCGTCTGGTGCCATTTGAGGTATCGTTTGAGCGGACAAACAGACAAACGGACCGACCGACACACAGACAGACAGACACACAGACAGACAGACAGACCAAATTTTTTTCTGTCGAAGGTCTCCAAGAAAGACTATCGTCTTTAAAAACTTCAGCATGAAAAGACATACAGTATGTCTAAACCACCCACCCCCCTGCCACCTCAATCAAAATTTTCGGCTACGCTGCTGGTTCTTCGAGCTGCGTCGTGTTAAAATAAATAATTATTCTCTATTGTTGCCCCTTGTATCAAAATAGAAACAAGCGAGTGGCGGAACTGTGTTCCCCTTATTGCTTACTCTCTTCTCAATATTATGGACGTTTACAGTGAGACATCAGACATACTTTGTGTTTACAACCATTAATTGATGATTGATATGTGGGGTTTAACTTCCCAAAACCACCATATGATTATGAGAGGTGCCGTAGTGGAGGGATCCGGAAACATCGGCCAAGGTTCTTTAACGTGCGCCCAAATCTCAGCACACGGACCTACAACATTGCCGCCTCCATCGTGAATGCAGCCGCCACAGCCGGGATTCGATCCCGTGACCTGCGGGTCAGCAATTGAGTACCTTAGCCACCAGACCATAAAGTATGCAGCACACTAACTACCCTGACATCATGTATATGCTGTAGCTTTTGGTTGGGTGAACTCAATTCACTGTGTTAATAATAATAATAATAATAATAATAATAATAATAATAATAATAATAATAATAATAATAATAATAATAATAATAATAATAATAATAATAATAATAATAATAATAATAATAATAATAATAATAATATTATCATTAAGAGTAATAGTAATAGTACCATCTCAATCTATAGACATTGTCTCTGCAAGGTCCATTGTTTCCACATTCTCACATTGCACCTGCCACATAGAACTCCAAAATGAAGTTGAGAGCCGACAGTTGGAAACATGTAGCGTTCATTCTGCTTATTCCACTACCTGATACATAGAGCAGTTCGAGCAGTGAACCAAGAACCAGTGTCTTGGGCGAATTAAATGATGTCACCCTATAGGCAACGCGATTAATACGAGCATGTTTACGCGGAAAGCTAATAACTTCAGGCTGAGGCTACAGAGTGCGCGGCTAATGGGTGAGATGGTTTGTTCTCCGTTTGTTTTCGCTGGGAGAGGGAGAGACAAAGGAGAGACGGAACGGTATGTAGCCTACACAATGAGCTTTCTATGTTTAGAAGCAGATGCTGTGTGAAGGACAGGTTGCCTAGCAACGAATAATTTTTGCCCGATAAGCCTATTGACCCTTTCACGGTTTATCCGCGGCTATGGGGATAATTTCTTGCTATTTCTATCCGTTAGGGAGGGCCGGTCGTCTTGTTGTGGAGGAAGTTGTTTTATGCTTGCACCCGCGTTTAGAGCAGCCACACGTAAGGTCAACGCCAGCCATCGAATGTCGGAGGGACCTTCAGAAAAAAACGGTGTGTTTTGTTACGTCGCAGTTACGTCCCAGTGAGCACTGGCTGCGAGCCTGCGATAACATAATTCTAGACAAGGGTCTAGGGCATCATCGCTACCGCTAGTTGAGATGACTGCTTTGCCCATAGACTAAAGTGAATGCTTCCTCACTACTGCGGAGCTGAAGAGACCATTGAACACGTCCTGTGCAGCTGCGCTTGCTACGACACACAGCGATTCCAGCTCCGGATGGTTTTCAATCAACTTGACTCCAGACCATTTTGTGTGCAGAAGATTGTAGGACCTTGGGCATCTGCCTCAGTTGCGCAGAGAGCGACTAAAGCACTCATACTTTACTTAAAGTCGACAAACCTGAGCGACCGCCTCTAGACTGTGTGTGCTCCCCCGAGTGTGCTCGTGATTGTGTGTACCTTCGTATCTCTCTGCAACCTCTTTTCTCCCCTTCATCCCTTCCCCAGTGCAGGGTAGCAAACCGGATGTGCGTCTGGTTAACCTCCCTGCTTTTCATTGCATCTTTATACATCTCTCTCTCGCCTCATTATATATATATATATATATATATATATATATATATATATATATATATATATATATATATATATATATATATATATATATATACTGAGAAGTGTTGTGCTTTTGTTTAGCCAGTAAACTATACTGAATTAGTAATACGTGAGGTTTTACGTACCGAAACCGCGAATACATTATCAGAGACGTCGTAGTGAGGGGTTCAAAAAATTTTGACCCTCTGGGGTTCTTTGACGTTCTTTGACGTGCACCGACATGGCGCAGCACACGGGCTTCTCGAACTTTGCCTCCCTCGAATTGACCCCATCAGACCGAATCGAACCCGCGACCTCCGGTTCAGCTGCCGAGCGTCGTAATCACTTAACGAAACATGTTGTTGTGCTAGTTGGTTCGTGCTGTGGAAAAGGAAGGGACGCAACTCAAGATGCTCTTTCCTGTCCTATTAATTTCTCCACCCTGTGCCACGCCACTATCTTTTGCACCCTAAACACTTTACCACCGCTACGGATCAGGTTATAATATCATACATCATATTAAACAGAAAACTAGTGATTCAGTACTCGCAATAAAATTGCAAGCCTGAAACGCTTGAGCTATCTGCGTTTTGGCGCCACTGCAAGGAATGTTAGCGTGGCCTGGTCTTCAACTATCTTCCTACGCCACGTTACAGTTTTGTTAATTGTATGAAATAGAGGTGATGCTTTAACTTAGAACTCGCAATAAAGAAAAGTGAGGCCTGAAGTGCCTGAATATTGCACACATCAGCACATGCCTTTTATGACTATCGGTTTGGCTCTGTTCTGGTACAATTTGATTTTTGAGTAGAGATTCCGGCATACTCTTCCACAGCTGCTCCCTTCCCATATTTCAAGTACAGAGAAGCAGATCCTTGAACTTGTGGCGTACACCCACATTACCGATTGATTTATATGTGGGATTTAACGTCCCAAAACCACCATGTGATTATGAGAGACGCCATATTGTAGGGCTCCGGAAATTTCGACCACCTGGGGTTCTTTAACGTGCACCCAAATCTGAGCACACGGGCCTACAACATTATCGCCTTTAATGGAAATGCAGCCGTCGCAGCCGGGATTCTATCCCGTGACCTGCGGGTCAGTAGCCGAGTACCTTAGCCACTAGACCACTGCGGCGGGGCACATTACCGAATAACTGGGTAGCTTTAAAAGAATTGGTCAAATTACTAGATATATTTCCCCTATTGAAGACAGAACATAAAAAGGAATGAAAAATGTGAACATGATAAGAGTAAAAAAAGAAAGAGAGAGAAAAATGAAAGTTAAGTGAAAGGGGGAGACTCAAACTAGTGAAAGGCAGGGAGGTTTCCGAAAATTGTTCCGGTTTGATACCCTGCGCTGGGGAAGCGGCCAGGGGAAATAGAAAGGTAAGAAGAGACAGAAAGTGAGAAAATACATAAAAAACTAGTGAAAAATAGCAAAAACACGCGCACACACACACACACACACATATACGCAGACACTCAAGCACAGGAGTGTCATAGTAGTTTAGCGATATACGGATATAAATAGCGAAACGAAATACTTGAAACAAAAAAATTAAATGACTTGAAAGAAACAAGTCAAGAAGTATAGATTAGGTACAGTCAATGGCTTAAATCCATTTTAACCTTAGGGGAGATAATGTTGGAGGCAAACCGTTCAAATCTCCACCAGGATTGATCCATTCACAAAAGAAGTTCGCTTCAGCACCGAATTGAAACAGGGCAAATAATTGAAGTATAATTGAAGTACGCATCGTGTAACAGGCGTCACAGGCTGATAGTTATTTCTAGTAAACGGCAAAATATGCGTATAAAGCATATGTATAACACGACATGACGTCTTCGTCGTCATCCACAATGTGAGGACCAAGCAAAGCTGTCAGTGAAATTAATCAATGTTCAATTCCAGGGCGTTTAGATTTAGATAACACCCGACAACGCACTCTTATTAGCGCTGCGATAAATCCGAGCTTCGTCAAATACGCTCTTGTAGTGCCGCTTTGAGTCCACAGATTGAGAGAAAGGAGAACAGGGTTCGACCCATAGTTCGCACTCGTTTAGCTGTCAACATTTCTTGTCGGTTGTTGATGATTCCGTAAAGAGATGTCATCGGCGAAGCAGCTCACATAAACGCTCACAGAACAAAGAGAACTAATTTAAAGAAAAAGCAAAAGAAATTTCAACCTGCTTTGCTTCGTGGCCACCGATGAAACAACGAAGCTGGTAGCACTCCTTTCATCAGGCTGATTGATTGATTTGTGTGGTTTAACGTCCCAAAACCACCATATGATTATGAGAGACGCCGTAGTGGAGGGCTCCGGAAATTTCGACCACCTGGGGTTCTTTAACGTGCACCCAAATCTGAGCACACGGGCCTCGACATTTCTGCCTCCATCGGAAATGCAGCCGCCGAAGCCGGGATTTGAACCCGCGACCTGCGGGTCAGCAGCCGAGTACCTTAGCCACTAGACCACCGCGGCGGGGCCCTTTCATCAGGCTACCACACTGATATGCTTCGCAAGTGTTTCAGATATACTGTACTGCTTCTTATTAAACACTCTTTGAAAAACTTCGAGGTGGTAGTATTCTTTGATAGCATCTTGACCATACCCCTCCTACACACAGGCCTACAAAGAAGCCTGCACTTAATATGCTCCGATATGTTGTACCAGCGCCCTATATTAAACACTCTGTTAAGCTTTGTGGTGCTTGTATAGTCACCACCTCTTATTCTCGCAAAACGTGACACCACAGAGTTTTACGGTGACGAACACGTCACTTGTTGTGCAAAAAGCTGCCTCTTTCCATTTTAGTGGAAGTTGTGTGCAGTGGTGCGTGGAAACTTGGGCAAGTTGGTAGAACATAACTGAATGTAGGAACAGCGCAACCTAGAAGTAGTTACTTCGTAACTACGGAAGCGAAAAACAAGGACAGAAACAAGGCAGTGCTCTTTTCTGTCTTTGTTTTTTCGCTTCCGTAGTTTCGAAGTAACTACTTCTAGGTTGCGCTGTTCCTACATCCCGTTCTGTGCACTGGTATGCACCCAATTTCTCGGGAATATACGCGTTTATGGTGGTCATAGCTTCGTGATAGGCAGTACAGATTTCTGCGGCACATACCCGTACGTTGGCTTGATCTCGCGTTCATTTTTGGTGTGTCAGCGTTGAGTAGTGGGACCCATCATCTGTGGTCCGTAACCGTTTATGATGCCCACAAGCGTTACCACATATTCACGACATGAAGGCTCGACTAAGAACGATTGCGTTGTTAAAACATACCACGTGGTCGTTGAATTTGCATTTTTTTTGGGGGGATAACATTACTGTACCATTTTTTTGAGAAGTATAGCTCGAAAACATTCCGTATTAAATTGCTGATAAAGAATGCAAAATGGCTGACATGGGTTCAAGACACCTTGTGCAGCCTTGAATTCAATGCTGCAGTTCTGAATTTAAATATAACACGCATGTCTAGACAAAGGCGGAACGGTTGCACAACGCGTTGCAGTGAGTCCCTACGTTATATCAGTATAACGATTTCTCAAAGCGTACGTGATGTCACAATGCAGTATGCATGCCCCGATCGTGCACACAGAGGCCCTCCCAGCCAGGTCTAGCTTCTTTTAAGGCTATTTCTTACCACAACTGCGATTCAGTGTGTTCTGAATAAGCTCGATGCTCAACGTGTCGAATCTTGTTAATCAGTGTATGCTTTCTAACTGCAGCTGCGTTGCGTAATACAAACCGAGAAGAACATCGAATCCGGTACATCGTTACGAAATCAGCGAAGACAGCGCATGGTTGAGAAATGGCAAGGAATGAGAATTGTGAAGTAACACCCAAAATACTTGGAGGTGTTCCAATACAATGTAAGCTCTCACTTAATGCAAATGGGCTCAGTATCGAGTGACTCGAGCGACGGTTGTGTTTATGTGATGACGTCTCCGACATTTTGTTGCTACGGACCTTGCAGTTGTGCTGGAACGAAACTTCTGCTTACTTTGCAAAAAAAAAAAAGGCTTTTCGACAGCAATCCTTAAGTCAGACAAAATTAAAAACATTGTATGTGGAAATTGTGTGCATATGTATCTATCAGGCGAATATGAACTGTCATGTGAACAGAACTGACCTTGTGTGTGGAACATATAAACCTATTAACTGTATGTGAACTGACCTGTGAAGTTTCTTTAAATGTACTTTCACATCGTATGTTGTACAGACTCACATTTTGTGCCCTTATTGTTGATCGCAAGGCATATCTTGCCTACTAAGAGAAAAGGAGTAGCCGGTGCCACCATAATGACACAAATCTCTCTTATTTAACCATTTAAAAAAAAAAAGATTGTGTTTTCTTACCATTCACAGAACTTAGCTGCTTTTGGAAGCAATACTACTAAAAAATGCAATGGCATACCAATTCTTTCGCAAGGGGGGGGGGGGGGCAAACAATTCAACTTACTTCACTCCTCAGAGAGTATATATATATATATATATATATATATATATATATATATATATATATATATATATATATATATATATATATATATATATATATATATATATATATGCGAGTAGTAAGTTCAATGAATCCGGTAGGAAATGCCGTTGAACAAAGGGGCGACAAACGTACAAAACGGATGTTTTACTAACGTTTTGGCAGAAGGCCCTGCCTTTGTCGAAGTTTAATTAGATATATATGTATCTGCTTTCTGATGGAGCTTTTCGGTGGCTGAATTTTTGGTAGATGGGAAAATGCCTAGGCCCGTGGGCTCAGATTTGGGTGCACGTTAAAGAACCCCTGGTGGTCGAAATTTCTGGAGCCTTCCACTACGGTGTCTCTCATAACGATATGGGAGTTTTCAGACAACAAAACCGACATATCCATAAATCGACTTATGACCATTAAGTCAGCAAGCGCGTAAACTCATCACTACACCACACCATGCTACAGAATTGTCTAAAATGAAACAGGTTTGTGCAGGCACCGAAAGTCGTTTGAACACGGCACGAAAATTCCCGCAGTTACCCAAAAAAACAGGTGCCTTACTCCGCAAGAAGGGAATTGCCCTCCTTGCAGTTTTTCGTCTTTTTTTTTCGTCCTTTGAAGGAACATAGAGCCCTTTTTAGGGTAACGCGCAGTTACACCAGGAAACTTTTTAGAATGTGTGCGTGCATGTAAATCTCCGTGAGCTCATCCTTGCTGAGAGAGAGAGAACTAAGCTGCGCTGCAAGTGTGTGCTTCTTTTCTGAGTTGTATTTCGAGCTGTAAAGACAATTCAAGTTGAATTAAAACTAACAAGCCCGACTCCTAATTAGGCCTTCATCGTGCAAAAAAACACACTTTTTCACATTCTCCCTGGTGCGCCGGGTAAAGCTAAGGGGTAAGCTTAGAAGGTGAGCTTCCCACTGTACTCGAGTCCACTTCTTTATTCTTCGCCACTTTGCGAACTGCTGCCATCGCTCCCAGTTACCGTAAGCAAAAACGATCAGATTTATCAGACTAAAACACAAACCTTTTTGTGGCGCTTCCAGTACGGCAGAACTGAATCACTTAAAGAGATGTGTCCCAATCATCGGCCAGCAGCAGCTTTGATAAAGCAGCGATGACGCTATTCAATTTCGATGAAAGAGAACAATTTTCCTAACGCAGCAAGTGCTCTTACTGGTCCATAAAACGATTGATCGTTCCCATCCGTAACAAAGCAAGTACAAGACGCTTTCGCGCCTTGTACTGTAGCCCGATTTGCGATGCTACAGTACAAGGCATGGAAAACTCGCATACGTGGCCCGCCCCGCAAGGAACATTTAAGGACAATCTTCACACCAGAAATTTAGGAACATTGTTACTTTATTAAAACATTTCCTGGTAACATTTTCATTTCCTTGTAACAACATAATTGAGTGATTACTGTGGTGAAGGAAAACTTTGCCTTAGTTGTGGGCTTCCCCAGCGTGCAGCTGACAGTGAGTATTGTCGAAAGGGGGGAGGGCTAAGCTCCTCAAATGTTCTCAGTGGTGGGGGGGGGGCGGGGGGGTGTGCCCGCCTTGTCCTCCCCCCCCCCCTCCCCGGATGAAGATGAAGAAATGTAAGAAATGTAAGAAGATGAAGAAATGTAAGAGGTGGGGATGTTCTGCAGAACGCCGCTGGCGCAATGCTTTTAGGAAAGCGTTATCGGCTATTGTCCGACTCCCAACGCCTCGACATCGAACAGTAATCCTGTCGATGACAGCTTCACTTGGTCGTATCATTGTGCTACTTTAAACCGGGTGTTTCAAGAAATGTGTGTGAAAATAATCATAGACAACGGAAAGCCAATTTTTCTTACTGTCTCCTAATTACTTCTTTTTTGTAACGAGAAACATTTTAAGACGTATATAAACATGAAAATCACGGCAATAATTAAACAAAATAAATTCGTTACTGTTTTACCTGTTGGAGATAGACCAGGTGAAATGAAAGAATTGCTGACCTACAACCTAAAACTAGGCAATAGCTGCGTGAGCATCCCATCCATTTCCCGTGTGCATGACTGCTGCAAGTGAGTAGGCTGGAATTTCATATAATTACACTTTTCTTTTTGTGAATTGTGTTTCGCAGTATTTTTGATCACGTGTCACTTTTTCATACAATCAAGTCTTGATTTAACCAACCCGAATATAACGAAATAAATAAAATAGTCTTGCAACCTCCCTATTTATATATATATATATATATATATATATATATATATATATATATATATATATATATATATATATATATATATATATATATATATACACACACCAAAAAGTGGAGGACGGGCAAAACGAAAACTTTTTATTTTTTCCTACGTTTCAGCCGGGGACCGGCCTTTATCAGGTTTCAAAGAAAAGCTTTGGAGATACCTGCTCTATTCTTTTTTCATTACCGTTTTACTCTAATACCACGCTTTGCATATGACTACCTCAGCAGTTATAGCCATAATTAACCTTAATTGATTACCACTCACTTTCTTTGTCCGTTAGGGTAGTAGCTTTTAAGGTGCTGCCTAAAGGTGCTGAAGACAATGGAGATTAGGATGATGATTATGTTGATAAGCCTCGATGATACCAAAAAAAAAGGTACGGTCGAAATTCTACAAAGAATCATCCGTAGTACTAGCGACAAACCTGTGAAGCAGTGCGCCCTTGACCAGTAGCAGGTGGACCACCCTGGTGTGTCCGTTCTGTGAAGCGATATGCAACGGCGTCTTGCCTTCGCCGTCCATCTCATTGATGATAAGGTGGCCCTTCTTGCTTTCCAGCAGGTGGCGCACCGTGTTGTAACGTCCGTACCTATTGCACAGAGCGGAGAGATGGATTGACACGCCCGTTTGCGTTTAGGACTAGAATGACAGATTGCACGTTAGTTGGAATGGTACAAGGGGTACATGCCGCGTGATGTGGTGGCAGTTGATTTTAGAATCACTCAGAGTGTAAAATTACTCAACGTGTGTGCACGCGTGGGCAAGCATTCCGATGACGCTTATTTCTCCCTCTACTATATACACACTGATTTTCAAAATTTAAGAAATGCAAGACAAAACGTAACAGAGTCACTCAAGATGACGTGAGTCCCGCTTGTGCCATATGCTCATAGAGGACAATATGTTTCATATGGTGAAGCTTGAAATTATGCGTCCATCAGATAATAATAATTGCTGTTTCTTGGGAGTGCCAGTACGCGTCAACCACTTTTTTGACACTCTGAAGCATTTCGTTTAGATGTGTGTTGCTGAGCTGTGCTTAGTTAACTCAACCACATGGCAGGTACGTAAGAGTACACATAGGTACAATCTAAAGGACTGACCAGTCGATTCCCCCAGATTCACGCAGAGGGTATTCGAGCTACGATTCCGAGTGTGAGTGGAACTGGTTGAACAAAATTTTGATTTGAGTTGTTGAAACTACGTCGCTCTGTAGCCCTTGTCATCTGTTTTATAAAACCCCGGTAGAACCGTCCAAAGGAAACAAGAAGTTAAAAAAAAAATCTGCTCTTTTTTGTGACAGTGACTCCAGCTCACTCACCTTGCAGCAAAATGAAGCGGCGACTGATTTTCGTTGTTCTTGAGGTTGACGATGGCGCCGAAGTGCAGCAGACTCTCGATGGTTTTCAGCTGGCCATTTCGCGAAGCGTAGTGCATCGCTGTGCAGCCCTGGATGTCTCGCTCGTTGAGGAGGTCGCCGAAATCTTTCAGCCGCTGAAAACAAAGAGCATGTGTGAAAAAGTTTTTCAACCACATCGCGAGTGCTACTCGAGACAAAAAACCTCATTAATATCTTATCTTGAAGGAGAAAAAATACGAGAAAGGTAGGGTTATAACGGCAGTTAAAATAACTATATCACAGTATTTCGGTTAGCTGATCTGCCCGGGAGTGGAGAAAATATAGATTAAGCCTCATGATTGCTCATCCCATGTATTTGTCTTAAACGACGCGAAAGTGAAAACAATCTTCGTTTTATCGATCCCCTCAGTCGATTGTATTAGTCCCCCATGTCCCCTCCGATGAATGCCTTCTACGCGATACGGGGTCATGCGCTGTTTTTCACATTCAAGAAGCTGCAGTATTGACCTCAAAGCTAGGGCTTTCCTCAATGTTTTCCGCTTAACTCTCTAGGACTGACGTTAAACTAGCAACTGTGTCGGCGAACCGTACAGCTTGTAGTATCTAGTTATTTTCGCCTGGTGTCCTGGTCAGTGTTTTCTACCCGGAATGGCTTCGATGTTTCTTTCTACGAAGTGCCGAGGCTTTATAGAGACTACACGTGGCACCATGATTGCAGCGTACGCTTGCTCCTGTGTCCCTCCGAACACGATGGAGACGAAGCCTTTCTGATCAAGGGTCGTCTGAGTGAATTGCTCCCTGCTATAACGGATGGTCCTCCGTTCGAGGACGTTTGTAACGCGAAACAATCAACTCGCTGGGTTTCGCTTACAGTTAGGACAAAATCCTCTTTCCCTTTGTAAATATCCAACGAGAAACCCTTTGTTGGAAGCGTGCCGATCGATTGTCGTGGGATTAGGAACGGCTGTCTGTCGCGATTCACAAAGAAGAGATGAGACAGACATGGCCTGGGATTGTCAGCTCCTTGTATTGTCGGTCACGTCTTTTGCTGCCGATGCTGCTGGACAGAACGGCTGATTGTAGGGAATGAGCTTACACGTATGCACACATATATCAAATATTCACTTCCACTTTCTCGTTCAATCCTTGACAACAAAACGTCGTTAAAGCGTGATTGGATTCTGTGGCTTTGGGAATCTTGTTTCCAAGAAGCTTTCGCGTCCTCAGCGCACAAAGTATAAGCAGAGAGTGTCGATTATGAATAATTAGTTTGTTGGACGAGGCAGTGAAAGCGTGTGGCTCTTATCATGGTGATATCTCGTGTAATGGGATGCTGTGTATGAGAAAGATACTGGGTAAGCTCACTTAAACATATTCTCAAGGGGCGAGCGATTATAATATTAATAATAATAACAGTAATTTCTTAGTTTTGCATACCATACAATAAGAAGTAGTGATGTTTAACGTCCCAATGTTACGACATGACTACCAGAGACGCCAATGACTGAGGAACTTTTGACGACCTGGTATTATTTAACATACGCCCAAATATAAGTGAACGGACTTCTACCATTTTTCTCAGCCTTAGAATGTGCAGCCGCCACGGCCGGGATTCGATTCCAAGACTAAGGCCTTAACGTGCCAAAACTTCCACATCATTATAAGACTTACTGTAGTGAAGGACTGGAATACTTGTGACCACTTGAAGTTCTCTAATGCGCACCCAAATCAACACACATGGAGGTATCATTGTATTTCACCGCCGTCTAAGTGCGTTCAATGTAACCGAGAATCAAACCCGTAACCTCGAGCCTGGAAAAGTGACACAGTCTGATAAGCTACCGCTGAAGTTGAGCCAGGGACGAGATGGAAGGCAAAATACGTTAGTGAAGAGCGCGAGTGACTGACGATAAGTGATTGAACACATACATGAACGTGAGATGTTGGTGATGAAGACAAGTTCACACAGGTGGGTGGTAGTATAGTCAGTGTTTGTTCACGTGAACAGATATTCTTGTGGGTCAGTGCCCCAAGTGTGAGCAAATGCGTCTGCAAGGGTGGGCGATGTCATAGTCGACAAAACTTTTCATAGCTCAAGTTACAATTATTGAACGGATCTCGCATATTTTGTTCATCTCAGATATGGCATTGGAAAGATGGCATCTGTTCTTTTTCGTCTCTTTTGTATTTTCAGTGTCTATATTTTTATTGAAATATTGTAATATCGCTCAAGAAGGTGTTGTATACTCTTTATTACCTATATGAAATCAGCCTTTTTTTCATTTTGTTTCTTGGTCTCACAGAAAATTCAATAAAGAAATCCCGAGTAACACAACCTCTTACGACCATTCTTGGTTGACTTCAAAGACTGTGGTTAACGTAGACGGTGGTGTCTCTACAGTGAAATCTGTGCCCGCCCCATAGGTTTCATCCATATACTTGAAATATAACGCGAGCACCTCATCGGTCTCCGTACCTCATTGATTTCCCCATGGAAGTCGTCCAGGAGTCCTCCGCTGAGCACGATGTGGTGCAGAAGGTTACGGCGCAGGTTGTCCTTGACGCTGAGGTCGGCGTCGAGCCTCAGCAGCGCCGTCACCGTCTTCCAGGCGCCGCGCGCAGCCGCCAGCAGAATGACTGTGCGGCCTTCCTTGTCGGTGGCGTTCATACTTGCGCCCTGTGCGAAGTGCGTGCGTAACTGTTATGAACTTGGTGCTCCGAGGTCTGTCTTCGACACGTCTCGAAGGTCACGTATATGACTTTGGCCTCCGAGATCTGTCGGTCAACGATTGGCCATTAGAGTCTTTGGCTTGGGCAAGCAGGTGCGACAGCTGTAAAGTTGAACGGTGTGAAAGTTGAGCAAATGAGTAAACGCATGCGCACACGACGAGTGGATCAGCCCTGGCCCTTGGTGTTCTTGATTTTTTTACGTTCTTTTCTTCCGTACTGTTAACTTTGCAGCGGGGAATACATGTTTCTTACTTTCTTGTACTTGGCGCCCAAGATGACTTCCTGGGAAAGCAACGTGCTTAAGTTGTGTACAAGAATGTCCTCTGTGATTCGGCAACCGCAGATCTAGGAGGTCACGTATTTTCCATACAGTAGCATGAGGTCGCCACAGGAGTGAATAGCGACGATCATTCCCAATGACTGAAAAGTTCTTCATGAATAAGCTCTTGCGGCGCACCTACTGTCTAAACATAAAAAATGCTAGCCATCGCATAACCTAAAGTAGATTTAAGGATTCAACTAAAATCAAGTCAGTTTACTTCGTCATCAAAACGAAACATGATAGTCAAGGTGGCCATGGTGAAAACTATATTTTGATTTGACATGCCGACCAGCACGCAGAATCATTAGAAATCGTATACTAGATCCATAAACCTCACCATACTATGCACTGATTCATATGATTGCCATTGTTTACAGTTACCGTATGCGATAAATATTTGCCGCTGCCTACCGTTCGTGGCACTGAAGCCACACAAGTCCGAGCTCCTGCACAGAATACCCCTCATACAGGTAACTCTTATGCTCTACGCAGCATGGCGTCATCTCTCGAAGATGCAACAAAACTCGCACCGGAAAGCTCTTTTTCACTGATTTCCCGGATCTCTCACTTTATTCTCGTCTGATTGCCCGGATGGTCTTGTTTGAGTGCCCGAATGACGGTGCTGCGTTTTCGTTCAACGTCTTTAGAAGTTGGCCGACAACGGGAGATATACGCACTATCGTGTTCAAAATGAACTGCTGTCGAGAAAAGAAGAGACTGGGATCGTACCTCGGAGACAAGGTATTCGACCAGTTCGACGTGATCAAACATGGCTGCGCAGTGCAGTGGCGTCATCTGTTGGGCGTCGCTACAGGTGAGGCAGTGCACCCGCTGGTCGGGCTGTCGCGAGAACATGAGCCGCACGATGTCCATGGCACCCTGGGCGCATGCCAGATGCACGGGCGTCGACAGGTCGTGCTGCTGGGTGCTGATCAGTGCGCCACTCTCCAGGCATAGCTGAACCGCCTGCGATCGAATTCAAACGGACACACTCACGTTAAATTTAAATAATAGCGCTACTATACTGCTGGCTCTCCTGCGCTTGCCTCCTCGGTTTGTTTTACCGGTTATATTTATCGCAAATTTAGTGTGCCCGTTGTGTGTGAAATGACACATAATTCAAATTTATTCATGTACGAATGAAAAGGGAAAGCTACGCTGTGATGAGGCTAGTAGGGGCAAAAATGTGGTGGTATGTGAGTCTCTCAGTGCGCAGAAACTATAACGAAGAAGCAATACTAGCATCCTCCCTCAGCAACTAATACTCCCTCGAGACATACTACTACTGGTGATCTTTGGCGAATGGCAGGCAACAGTTGCCAGTGAATAGTTTCGTGAGTTTATCAAGTGGTCTGCAGTGTGGGTAGGTTTTGTCTTTTAAACACCAGAGAGTTACTCGAATTTCGCCGATGTGGCAAAGAAGAAAGAAAGAGGAATTCTCAATGAAAAAAGATTGGTCAGCTTCCATGCAAACCGATACGAACCCCTGAGACTGCACCTCTCTTGTGTTGTACAGAATCTTTCATTTGGAGACTGACAACAAAAACAATAAAAAAACAAGGAAGGACTTTAAGTTTGCGATGTTTTACGTTTCCTTCTTTTTCGGTTGTGCTGCTCATTTTTAACACCATTTTCTTTTCACTAAGAGCAACAGCAATAATACAGAAAGCAACAACACGAACCTGCCATGTTAGTAGTCAATGTACGCACTTCGTCGGTTGTGTGTGTGCAAAAACAGTTTTATGTCTTTCCCTGCAAGTTTCAATACAATAGGATCTCAACTCCTTGGAGTTAACGCATAATCAGGGCCCATGGCAAAGCAGGTCGTCTAAGTTACATGTCACAAAATCGCTGCTGACATTTTCGCGGGCCAAAAGCCAGGGTGAAACTTTCTAAACAGTGTATTGTACATATGTGGCTGTATGCATTACGTGTTTGTCACTGTATTGATAATAAACATCACCCAGCGCCTGGAGTGGCATGCCCAACGAAAGTACAAACATCTCTAGTTCATCTATGAAATATTTCTCTCTCTCTTGAAGCAGTATCTCTCTTGTGCAATATTGGTAAACTAATGCGATAAACAAAAGCAAAAAAACATTATATATTAGTCAATGAGCACACTCCTTATGTCTGAGCATTGCATACGCACTTTTATGTCTCCGGCATGGCACGGCCGAGTGGAGAGGCACATTTCCATCGGCATCGTAGAGTTTCATCATCTCAGCTCTGGAGTAGCCGCTGGACTCGCCTGCGGAAACGGCATCGCCACAAGAGCAGTGCATAATGCAATAATCACGGGGTCTGGGTTCACTCATAGAGAAGAACGGTATACCATGTTGACGCGGAGAATGGATTATCGTTTAGAGGAAAAGCAAAGATATTTATGCGTCCTAGAAGATAGCAAATCTAGTTAAGGCGCCTTGGTACTAAAATATTCAGAAGATAATGCTACAGAACAGCTGCGCTGTGGGGTTGCACAGAAGGGGCCAGGGACTTTTGTGGCTAGGCAGTTTTCGCAGCCTTTGCTGCAAGATTAAAGGGGCTGTTACACACTTATCTGAGTTATAATGAAATAGCCTCACTATGTGATGCGTCGCGGGTTACATGCCGTGAAAGTTTTTACAATGAGTGCAGCTCTGGCGGAGCCAGTGGCATTTGCCGAACGCCTGAAGCCTTTTCTCTCTTCTTTCGTGGCAGCGAGCGCGCTGCAAGCTACGTTGGAACTTGTGCGTTGCACCGACATAGAGACGAAGAAGGCGAGCAGTGGAGCGGGATTTGGACGCATAGTCAAACGGCACGCCATGTTTGATGTCACCAAGGAAATTCGGAGATTACAAACGAATTTGTTCATATAATGAGGTACCACTCATTTTATGGCTGATCTCTAGTGGTGGGTTGCACCAGGATAATGACAGTATACCAACTTGCCAACCCTGTTTGAACAGTATCACACTGAGCGTCAATAAACGGCGAGGAGAGATTTTTCACAGGCCACGCAGACAGAGAGATAACAAAAGAGGAAGACGATGCGGAAATTTCGGGAAACAACCTTCTTAACGCTATCGCATTAGAAATTGAGAGCATAGATATGGGCGAAGGGAGCAACTGAATCGCGCTTTCAGCGCGTACCTTAAAGAGAAGCAGATAACGCGTCAGTGAAGACAACGTCACCCCGGAAGATTATGCCACAGCATTCCACGGCTTACGAAATAAAAGCTAAGATGCTGTTATCTGTGACAAGACGTGCATAGACTGCAAGACGCCTACGCGCGGGTATAGTTGTCAGCCGAGTCACTAGCGCCCAACGGCTGGCTAACAACTACACGTTGACGGAAGGTCGTAACTGGGGTATCCGGAGATGGCGTATAGTAGGTGAAGTTTACTTCTTATTCTTCAAGTTAGTAAAGATTGAAGGTGAAGACGAGCCGCGAACTTAGCAACGATGGTTGTAACCACTGGGACCTGATGATCGTAACACCGACAGGTAAATAACGAGAAGGAAATGCCCCGGCTGACTTGTTCGACGTCATATGTTCTGCTGTATCGCATTTTGTGTGTGAGAGAGAGAGATGTAGACTTTATTGATTTCCGGAAGATTGCTGGGATGGGCTCCCACCTAGGTAACCTTATTATTTTTGATACCACGTATTTTGTCTGCCTAAGTGAGAGGTAGTAGCAGTGCCACCAGAAAGGCACCAACCTTTCGAAGTTTAATTATTTCAATGTAAAAAAACGAAAAAATGTGGTCTGGCGCTGCCCCCCGGATTGGAGGCATTGCAGGTTTTTTTAATGTTACCTGATGTTCGCCAGCCTCCATGATCGGCCAACCTTTCACGCTGCAACGTGACGTTGTCATTTCATGACATCAGAACGTGACGTCACGTTATGTGGCAACACATTGAGTTCACAGTGACGTCACGTATTATGACTATGTGTGAGTCGCGATGACACAATATGATGACGGCATCATGTGAGGATTTATCATATGAATTGTGTTGACCGATGACCGCGGTCAAACTTGGCGTTAGACGAAGACATTTTAAGGCTTTCGTCTTAAGAACGTCGGTGTTACGAATTGGTAGATTGATGACTTTGTTACGGCATGTTTTGCAGTGATAACCCTAGAAGACGTGGATTCCCTTTGCCGGTCGCGGTTGAAACATTTTGATGGAGGTCAAACGCAAGGGCGCCGCAGTGCAATTCAGGTGCGGGTTCAATATACCGCAGACAGTCCTAGTTATTCTTGAGCTTCTCGCTGCGTAGTATGCGAGGGTCCCATTGCAGTCTTGTACTTTTGGACCCTATTCTGTATATTTTACTCCTTGTAACATCCTTTTATGACATGATAATAAACTGATTGGTTGATTGATTGATTGATTGATTGCATGGTCAGGAAATGGGGACATTGGCGTTGTTGCGGATGCTAGCAAACCGGTTACCCTCGACTGGTTGACCTACCTATATTTCCTTTTCTACCATTTTCTCTGCCACCAGATGCCACTGCAGAAGCAAAATTTAGGAGCAAGGAACACACTTTAGGAGCACACCTTGGCTTTGGAAACAACAAAAACAAGGCCGACAAAAACCACAAAGGAAGTTCCAAGGATTTAGCTACCCAATAGAGTAGAATGTTAATTGAAAGAGTGCTTCTCGGAAACCAGGATCCGTTTGCTAGACCTCTTTTTTGAGATTTGCAATAGAAGTGGAAGGACGCTGATATGGTTCCGAAATTGAAGAACCCTCACAGGCTGTTTGCTAAAATCTTCAGATGGCCGGGAAAGTACGCTTTGTGGCACGCTATTAGGTTTACGCCTAATTTCTTCTTGTTGACTAGTATCTAAAACAAAGAATCGTTTTTAATTGCATATTTCGTTTCTTATATACGTTTTCTTGCTGAAAATTTTGTTACAGATGTGGAGGGGCGGGGGAGTCACTGCCAAAAGATGGCGTGACATATACAAAGCCCGAAATCCTGGGGATGTACAAACTTTATCATTGTTTCGACGTGTAAAGCCATATATATCGCTAAATGAGTGACCTAATAATTAAGTACGGATCACCCGCTTATAGCACGACACAACGTTTTTTAAACCTTCATCGGTATGTCTGTACTACGTGCCGGCTCCTGAAAAAAATAAAAAACTATTTCTGCGTGACATGCGCTATAGCGAGCTTACAACAAAAAATACAATGACTACGTTTCTCTCCAAAGTTTGCGTTTCGTTCTGTGCGCAAGCGTGCCTTTCCAAGGCAGCAGCAGTTTTCAAGCAAACAAACCATCAGTACAACAAAACATTTCCAGATATGCGTTGCTCACGTGCCGGGGCCTCATAAGCGCCCCCGAAAATGCCACAACACGCTTATAATCACCGAGTATGTTATCACGCGCGGCCAAGTTATGGATCGTATCATTTTTGTTTCCTGCTCATCGATTCCAACCACACGCCGCTAGTCGTAAAGCCTGTCGGCGCTCAAAGGCATCAGCCCATAAAACTGCCCTCCATCAGTTTAGCGTGAATCAGAATTAGGCGCGCTGAGTCAGAAGCTATAGATCTCCGTGGATCACGCCGTTACTGCTGTTCCGGGATTTCGGCAGTACGAAAGACACAAAGCGCTCGCATGCCAGACCCTCTACCCGCAAACCATTACTAGTCTATACCAGTGTTCACAAAAAAATACATTGAAAATATGGTAAACGTGCGTGAACATGAAAAGCGGTTTTCTAGTTGGCCATGCCCCGCGAAATTTCCTGGATGCATTTTGCTCGTGAACTGCAACTTCTAAATGATTTTCGCCGAATGAACAGCCTTTACGAGGTCGTTAAAAAGCCATTGATTCATTTATACAGCGTCGCGTGACATTGCGAAGATGCACGCAGTGAACAATAAGCCTCTCACCCGTGAAATTTGAACTATAGGTGCGTGATGGATAGGTTTAAGAGGCTCAACCATGAATGAGTATAAAAAACGCGTGTGATGTAGCTATGTTCAGCTTATGTTGGCGTAAATACGTTTAGGTATCTTCAAAAAGAACGAATATTAAAACAAGCAAACTATGACATACAGATGTTGAATTGAATTTGCATATATATTGACAAAGAACAATTTACATTAAAAAGTCAGCAGATATTCGTCGCCTTAACTAATTTAGCGTTGGAAACGCAAAGAGACAGAGCAGCAGGAGGAAGCCGTAACAATCGTATGGAAAGTAATTCAAAGCTTGGGAGTCACCTCTTTCGCATTGCCTTCTCCCACACCCGACTTCGCCCTACGACCAGCGCCACTGCTCCTCCTCTACGCTGTTGCGAAAGACGGACCGATCCCGCCGAAGCCACCACTGTTTCGAAAGACGGCGACGCCAACACGGCCCCGAAGGCGCCACTGCTTCCAACTCCGCCGGGAAGGTCACCAGCCGTTTGGTAGCGTATGTTTATCAGCTCGCGACTGCTTCTGCGCAGAGCTGATAAGACGAGCGGACGAGACGACGGTGAGTTAAACAAGGTTTATGTACAGCATATATACAGAAGCGTTACAATTTCGGCACTGGGGCCGACAGAGACTCGAAGAGCCGAGCTCTCCTCTCTAATACATAGGTCAACTTTTCGCCTAAGACCGCCGACTCACACACATGTCGGCTCTCCGACGTGGGGACTCCTCTCTCAAGGACCGCCCATCGCGACGCGCCGCAGGGCTTCTTTTATTTACACCGGGTCCAACCAAGATGTCCAATCAGAAGCGCCGCTGGTCGTCAGGGCAGACTCCTCCAATGGGGTTGCCGCGCCATGCGTCAGACCACCAGACACGAGGACGCCGGCTCGCTGTCACGTGCGCAGCTGACTCAATGCACGTGGGCCAGAGAAGCGCCGCGCGTGTTCACGCCGTCGAGTTGATCGCGCCAGGCGGACTGCGGGCTGGCCTTGTCCCAGATTGCCTTTTTCAGAGGCACGGTCGTTTGACGAGGACTCGCTGGCATAACAGCACCCCCGCCGCCAGACAATGCACCGGAAAGACGAGCTGCTTCCACGGGGCTCGGGTGTCAGGTGCGCTCGTTCGCCAGGTCCCTCCAGGTTCGCCTCCAGGGCCATGGGGAGAATACAGCTCCAGACTGTTCCGGGAACACATCCCATTTTTGACGACGGATCCCAGCTCCACTGGCTTGTCGCCACAACTTGTCGACCAGCTTCACTCGTCTCTTCTGACCATCTTCGGTTTCAGCACTTGTCGATGGTTCTGCAACTTGCCAAGAACG